CTTGCACTTCGCCAAAATCCATGCAGAAATTTGACTTTTACCTTGAAATTCCCCTTAAAATCCGCTTACCGTAATTTTCGTAGCCCCGGGGGAAATCCGCCTGGGACCCGTCAAAAATCGCCAATTCGGGGGCCATTCATTCCGTTTTGATGCAATTTGCATTCGGGGCTTTGTTAACAGCGGAAAGGGAAGGGAGGATGACGGGGAGAATGAGATTTACGGGGAGGAGGAGAACATTCAGTAGACTCACACTCCCCGCAAATGACCTTTGCTAGATCACCCTAGTCTTCTATTTCCTGAAGGAACAATGCTGGCTTGCCCACTGCTAAACTGGCATCCAGAAAACTCATTCCGACGTCCTAAATTTCCTCTGCCAGCTTGCTTGGCTGGTTTTTCCGCAAATGGTCTCTGCTAGCTTGTCCAAATCGCCAGTTTCCTCCAAGGAACCATGCTAGCTTGCCCATTGACTAAACTGGCGTCCAGTTAACGAATTCCAGCACCCTAAATATTCGCTGCTAGCTAGCCTGGTCTCCTGGTCTGTTTTTTTGCGCAAATGTTCACTGCTAGGCTGCCTTTCACAAAACGCTTTCTGCTAGCCCCCATTTTCCCAAATTTCCTATACTAGGTTCCCCATCCATTTTTCTGCAATCCCGTTTACAAATTCCGCAATCCTAAATTCTCTCTGCTAGCTTGACCTTCCGCTTTACCTCCACTTCCTGAAAAGTGGGCGTGGCCTGTCCTTTGAAGACGATCCCCCCTCTTCTTGGCGAGGTAAATTGGCTGGATGACGATCCATTTCTGAGCCCCGTTCCCTCCACTAAACAACATCACGTTTTTTTGAGGGAAACCCGGAAATTCCTCAACAATCTCTGCTAGATTGTCTAAATTCAGAAATTTTTAAATTTTTTCGTCTTCGAGCTGAATTTTTAAGGCAAGCTAGCAGAGAGCATTTAGGAGACCAGAATTTGTGGACTGCATGGCAGTTTGGGGAATGGGGAGGCTAGCAGAAACCATTTGCGGAGTAGAGGAACTAGGTGAGCTAGCAAAGACCACTTGCGGAGTAGACTGCCCGGGGGTAAGCTAGCAGAGACCATTTCGGACGCATGAATTTTTAGGCTAGCTGACAGTTTAGCCACTGGGAGGGCGAGCAGAGACAATTGAGGAAATGGGAGGGCTAGCAGGGACCATTTGCCATTTCCCGGGGCCAGCTAGCAGAGATATTTTTGGAATTCCTTGAACCCCGATCCCCCTTTAAAGGTCAATAAAGATGTTCTTGGTGATGCGTTCCTCAAGCGTCATTTGGTGTCTGTCGTACTCTTGCCCGTAAATGGCCCTTTCCCATGCAATCCCTATTTTAGACCCTCGAGAAATATTCCTCCTCTCACACTCTTCGTCATCATATTTGTCATTTTTGAGCTTTCTGAACGTCTTTTCAAGTTTTAAAGGGATTGGAAAGGCTATGGAAATCCTGTGGATTGAGGGAACCGCCGGGACACGCAACGCGCACACACTTTTTCCAGGGTAAAAGTAGCGTAATCGATTACGCAATGGAAAAGTGTTGATCGTGTAGCGCGCCGCGTTGCGAGTCGCGTCGCGTACTGGGTTTCGCCTTGCGCGTCGTGTTGCGTGTCGCGTCGCGTTTTGCGTTTCTTGCTGCGCCGCGCTGCGTGCTGCGTCGCGTGCTGGATTTAGTATTTATTTCGTTCGTTCCGTATTGCGTGGCGCACGAATTTTCGCGTTCCGTATTGCGTTGCGTATCTTCCCGCACCTTTAAAGGTAACCTAAAGCCAAAGATTATGCCTGGCAAATGATAAATTCCCCTGAATCCGCCGGGCCCAAAAAAATGGGTGCAATTTAGAGTATTTTTCTTGGCGAATCCTCTTTGTTGGCTGGCAGCTAAGCTGTCTCCGAATTGACGACCACAAAAAATATTTCTTTCCGCCAAGAAAAGACCTTTTTAGAGGATGGCTAGGCGAATCGATCGCGCCATCATATTCAGTTAGTTTATAAGTCATAGAACTGAGTTTAAGAGTTTAATTTCCACGACAACCTGCCGTAATTGGTTTCATCAGGATATTCAAGGAAGTTGACGTCTAAAATTTGAATTTCACGCGTTTTTAGTTTATTTGCCTGCCAATCTAGGAAATTTCGCAAAAATTCGATTTTCCACTTGGCGCTAAATTCCAAAAGACCCGGTTAACTCGGTTTTGGGGCATTCTGCCAACCAGTTAACGAATTTACACCTTCAAAACCAAATTTTCGTGAAGAAATTTCAAGGGTTTACCCAAAATTCCGGCTTTTTTTTGGCTTTCTGCCTGCAATTTCTGCAAAAATCCAGATTCCATTTAGCTCCAATATCCGGAAAGCTTTTCGTTCTGTTTTTTGGGTGTTCTGGATGTCAGTTCAGCCATTCCCCCACCCGCATTTCTCGAATTCCGAAACACTCCGCAATTCCACTGGGGGGTGGAGTGATTCGGAATTCTCGGGTCGGGGCCGGGTTTTCCGGGGAGTTAAATATTAAAGGGTGTTCCGTGTTTCGTGGCGGGATATTCTGCCCTAAAAAATCCCATCAATCACCGTATCCACCTGGAAAATGGACACGAAAACACGAAAGTCGCGGTGAGAAATTGCGACAAGATAACGTGTTGCCATTTTCGAGTCACTGGGATACTGTAGGCCTCAGTATTCCGCGAATGTACTTTAGACACTAAGAATTTTTGTGGGAATCTTTTAACTGCCAGCCAGTCTAGAAGATTAGGTCAGGGAAAAGGTCAGGCTGGCAGGGTTTTTGTGGAAATTTGGCTTGAATATTGGATTTTTTTTGATTTTTCAAAGCTTATCGATTTTTTCAGACTGTCTTTTTTTTAGGGCAATCTAGCAGAGATTCCTTGTCGCATGCCAGTTAAAAAATACCAGTCCAAAATGGCATTCTGCCTGGGCAGGCTAGCAAAGGTTCTTTCGGGATTTTTGGATTGATGGATTTTTGCGGGATTCTGTAGGGAGTATTATCGCGGAATCGCACGATATTCCCGCGGAATAATAATGGCCAATCTCCCTCCAATTACGACATCAAATACGACAGCAACCGGCATAGATTATTGGGGAATTAGCTCGCCGTCAGATGGCTGAATAGCGGTTTTTTTAGTTTTTCCCCAAATTTCTTTGCTAGTTGGTCTGAAAAGGGTAAGCTAGCAGAGATCTTGGTGGAAATGACTAAACTGTCAGCCAGTTGATCGATTTTTCGTCGGCAAACTGGTAGTGACCATTTTGGGAAAATCTTATTTTGCGATAGTCAGCCGACCGATTTCCCAAATGTCCTTGCTAGCACGCCGATAAAAGGTAACCTAGCAGTGTTCTTTGTGGAAATTGGCAATCTGGAAATCAGTTAAACGATTTTTCAGGGAAAACTGGCAGTGACCATTTAGGAAACCCTATTTTTCAATTTCCCCAACCCACCCCCCGAGATTTTTGATTTTTTTGAGCTGAAAGTTCGCAACTCGCCGGAAAATTGAATTGGGACTTTTGGGGGGAGGGGATGGGATCTTGATTAATAATTCCCGAAATGCCCTCCTTTGCCTGCAAAAAAGGGACTTTGGTCTGGCCTCCCCTCTCCCCGCCTCCACTCCTCAACGCCCTATTTCTTGCCCCCCAGGGTTACCGTACCCAATCCGGGTTCCGGATGTTTTAGGGGTCAAATTTTGCCGGATTTCTATTCCTCGGTTGCCAGAATACAAAAATAAAGTAAACTAAGCCAAATTTTCGGGATTTCGCAATTTTCCAGCGCCATGTTTGCAGTCCCTATTTCGCGCCCCTAGCTACCGTAATCAATCCATTTTTCTATGGGTTTAAAAACCAGGTTTTAGAGAAATTCTAGAATTTGGTTGCCAAAGTATCGGAATAAAGCTTAATAAAGGCAAATTCCCCTGATTTCGCAATTTCCCAGCGCCATTTCCTAATTTTCGTATTTCGCGCCCCTGGCTACAGTAGTCAATCCACTTTTCCCGGGCCTTTAGGAACTAAATTTTTAGGCGATCTATAGCTTGGTAGACAGCTACCGGAAATAAGCACTTTTTATAGCCTCTAATTCCCTAATTTCCGGTTTTATCTTGATAAAACTCTTTTCGGGCCACCACCTCCGCAACCTCACTTTTCCAAAATTTTTCCACGATAAGTTTTATACCTGGAATTGTTTTTGGAAAATAAAAAGCAGTAAGTATAGGCGGTATGTCCTCCCGTTTTTCGTCTTTTCCGGCTTCTTTCCCCTTCCGTTTTATTGTGGTCGCGTGAATTTTTGAGTATTATTTTTTGGCGAGGAGGAGGAGGAGGAGTGGAAGAATTTCCACCCACTCTCTATTTTTTTTCTAGTACTTTTCAACGAAATTACGTGGTTTTTATGAATTTTTAACGTTCTAAAAATAATATATATCTAAAATAATAAAAATGAATTTTTACAAAAAAATGTGCATAAACTTTTTGAAAAATCTATTTTTAGTTTATTTCTAATTTTAATTTTTTTAATATGATTTGAAACGGTCTATTGATTTTTCTTTGTATGATCTGGCAGTCAATTGATCAATTTATCGATCGATTTGGGGGCAATTTAGCTTTCTGCGTCCGAAGGAACCGAAAGGGGTCCCGAGGCGCTTGGATTTATTGGCGGTCTGTTCGCCGATTTTTGCATTTTCCAGTTATATGCTTGACAATTTAACTAAATTGACTTTCATTTAGTTTATTACGCGACTTATTTTCTCAAAAATGACAATTACAAGAATTAGAAGTCAGTGGATTCGGTATTTCGGCAATTTCTGAATTTTCAACAAATTTATTTCTTCATTTATTGGATTTTTCTCTTACCTGCTTTACATTTGGCTTAATCGTTTTCTATTTAACCCAATTTAATAATTATTTTCTCATAAATGACAATTGCAACATCCGAAAACTGAATAATTTTGAGGTAACCTTCGGACGTTGAGAGGAGAAGCAACAGACAAATAAAGAAGATGAACACGTGGAGGACTGTTTTCCTATTCGTCGCCCTTCTCTCAGCCATTCTAATGGCAATCAGTGATGATTATGAGGGACAAGGAGGCATTGCTATTGGAGAACGAGATGCGGTACGGTAATTCTCTCGCTCAAATAGGGGGTACTGTAGCTAATACAGCACCCAATGACTTTAAATATAGCAACCAATCGATAGTCTGACAGCCAGTTTAACCAAATCAAACAATATTAAGCCATTTTAAAGGACCATTGAAGGCAAAAATCCATATACCATTTTTGGGTAACGAAATTGTGCAAAATAGTTCTTATATGAAATTTTTTAAAAATGATTTTTCAAAGTTACGTTTTTCAAATAAAAATACATAGTTAACGAGCAACCAGTTTAATTAATTACATCAATACTAGGCTATTTTAACGAAACGCTAAAGTCGAAAATCCATAAGATCAATTTTTAGCTATTCGAAAATGTATTTTTTGTAAAAACTATTTTTCAATGCTACAACTTTTGAAAGAAAAGGATAATTTGTATGCCAGTTTAATTAATTAAAACCATAATAACCAATTTTATAAAAGAACCAAAGGAAAAAAAGCCATACAACCTATTTTTGTCAGGCAAACCAATCGATTTTCTCCCTAAAAAACGAATATTTTAGCGAAGCGACTTCCTGTTCCCAGTATGCATTCGTACTCTATTGGAGACATTCAATAAAGACTTTCGCTACAAACCACAACAATTTACACCCACTTTAAGCGCTTATTCTCCAGTTCACAGCCTCGCCAATAACCCCCAATTTTACGCCATTTTTTTAACTTGGCCACTACCGTTTCCCGGGATTACTGCAGCCATCTATTTTCAGGATTTGGCAAAGCGATCGCCGTCGGCCAAATGGATGAGATTCGGCAAGAGATCCCCCAATGCCAAGTGGATGAGGTGAGAGAGAGAGAGAGAGAGAGACAAAAAGAGCGAGAGAGAGAGGGATTGGATTGTGGGTTTGTCTGTTTGTCAGTCTGTTTGATTGTTTGTCTATCTGTCTGCTTTTCAATAGATTCAATCTTCTATCTGTCAATCAGTATACCGATTAAAGCATTACGATTTCCCGGGTACTTGTCTAATATCGGGGGGAGACGACCGGATTTTCTGTAAATTTCCCCAAAAAACCCCGAATTATCGATTGAAACCAGTATTTTTGCAAATTCTGTTAATAAGTATTGAATATTTAGCTATATTTTAAGCAAAATCATAAGAAAATTAGCAAGATTTAGAAAAATTTAATTTTGGGCAAAAATCTTAATTTTTGGTGGAAGCGATCTTTTGTGATTTTTTTGGATTTTGTTATTCTTTCATAAAGTTGGTTTGAAATAGTAAATAAATTTAACTACTATATTTTACGCAAAAGGTTAAGAAAATTAAGTATTTGGAAAAACAACTTTTGTCCAAAATCGGCATTTTTGGACAAAGAAATCGATTTTTTGGGATAAATTGTGTAATTTTTTGAGCTTCTGGTAGCTGTCAAAACAGTTTAAATAAATATAAAATACCTTCCCCGAAAATGCAAAACATCCTCTAATCCCTGTTTGAAGGCCGCGAACGAAGTGGATGCGGTTGGTGGCTAGATATCGAAATCGATATGGTTCGATCGATATCTCGTTTTTAATGTCTTTTTGGGCACCATTTAGCACCTCCCTTTTGTTGCCATTGTCCCCGAATTAATTGGAATCGTGTCAATTCCTCTATTTGGCGCACAAAGTACCGTATGCCATCCTCAGCCACCGGGCCGCACCACCGCATGTCGTTTGGCTACCGTAGTCCACGCGGGCACAGCGGGATTAGCTAAATGTTTATATTGGGTTTTCTGGATGTCAGTTTGGCCGAAAATCACTGTAAAAATATTTTTTACCTTGTTAAACCCGAAAAATTAATTTTCTAAAATTGTGAAGAATCGCCTTTTTGCATTTTTGCGGGTTTTGTTTATATTGCGTAAACGGTTAGGCACAAAATCACCGCCAAGATACGGTATGGCATCCATGAGCGAAATTTTCGGGGTTTAAAGGGACTAGGAAGGCAGGAATGCATAGGACCCCCCCCCCCCCCCCCCCCCCCCCTCCCCCCCCCCCTCCCCCCCCCCCCCCCCCCCCCCCCCCCCCCCCCCCCCCCCCCTTTCCCCTCCCCCCCCCCCCCCCCCCCCCCCCCCCCCCCCCCCCCCCCCCCCCCCCTTTTTTTTTTCTTTCCTCCCCCTTTTTTTTTTTTTTCCCCCTTCCTCTTCCCCTTTCCTTTTCCCTTTTCTTTTTACTTTCCTTTTTTTTTTCCTCCTTTCCCCTCCCCCCCCCCCCCCCCCCCCCCCCCCCCCCAAAACCCCCCCCCCCCCCCCCCCCTTCCCAAACTAATTCCCCCCCCGGGCCCCGCTTTAGATGGAAATTGGGCAGACAGCCAAGAGTTCTCTGCCTTCCTAGTCCCTTTAAACCGCAAAAAAACAAACAAATAATTTTGCCAAATTTTGCAGATTCGGCAAGCGTTCCCCATCAGCAAAATGGATGCGATTCGGAAAGAGATCGATGGCTGTGGAGGAGATGATCCCCGAATATTGATCGATCAAATCGATTACGCCATGATATTCATTGATCTCTCTTTTAGGGTATTTTCTCTCCCTCTCCCTTTCTCTGCGTCTCTCCCCCCCCTCTCTCAGATGATGTGTGTGCAGCCATCCATCTCTCCCTCTCTCTCGCCTCTCTAATGTCCCTCTCTCTCCCTCCCCCTCCCTATCTACCGTATACCCTGGTGGACATTTTCGCTGCATAAATAGTTGGATTGTTTTCTGGGTAGTTCGAAGAGAAAAACAGGCAAAATTGGAAAAAAACCCACTTTTTGGGACGCTAATGACCTCTGCTAGCTTGCCCGCGGATTCAGTCATTTCTCCGAAAATTGCATTTGTTAGACTGCCTGCCAGGGAAGAATTTGCAGTTGTTCAAGGATTTCTGCTAGCCTGCCCTGGAATTTTAAGGAGCCTCTGAACGCTCGATTTTTTAGGAAAGGGCCTCTGCTGCCGCGCCTTGTTTTTTTGCACGCTCGGGGCCGTTTTGAGCTTCTACTAATGCGCAAGGTTATAAGGTCAATTCTAGCGATGAAATTCGTCAAACTGCCTTCCACGTTCGTTAAAAAGCCAAAAATTAAGGCTTCCTCAAAGTCCCCCTGCTAGCCTGCCTCGGTATTACGTTCGGATCGGATCAATTTTTGGGTTCCAATTGATGCGTAAACGGCCGGAAATGAATTCAGGTTAAAGGGATTGCCAATCTGCCGTCCACACTCCTTAAAAATCCAAAAATAACGGTTTCCTCAAGGTCCTTGGCTAGTTTGCCGCGGTATTTTGCACGTATTGGGGCAATTTTTGAGCTTCTACTAATGTGTAAACGGCGGGAAATGTTTCCATATTAAAGGTATCGCCAATCTGCCTTCCACGCTCCTTTAAACCGGGTTTGAAATTTTGTTTAGCTCGGCAAGCGGTTTGGAAGTTACTTCCTGCCGAGGCATCCCCTCAATCTGCCCGTTCCACCCGCATTGCTCTCTTTTGGCTGGCCCCCGTCTCTCTCCCCTCTCTTTCCCCCCCTAAAAAGTGCCCCAAAATGTGGCCGGTGAGCCGAGACGGGCCGTGGCTCTCTCTGTCTCTCCCCTCTTTTGAGCAGGACTCGCTATATATTGTGGAGAATGAGTGGAATACAGTGTCCCTTCCATTCTCCTTTCGAAGAGCAGGTCCTCCACCCTAACAGGTACCTTTCGCTCCTGTTTACGGGGTACTGTAGGCCAGATTGGCGGGTGGTTGGCTTAACTGGCTTCCATTTCACGGGATTTTTCCAAAATCTGGCTTTACAATAGCGGAATTACGAATCAGTGACCCACAAAAATTCGACCTAGCTACCGTAAGCTAAAATTATAATTTGCCCTATCCACTCTTGTACCCACCGTAACCCCACTACAGTAGCTCAGATTGGCTGGCGGTTGACTTAACTGGCTGATTTCTACTCGATTTTCCGAAAAACCTAGCTTTAAAATCGCGAAACTACGAAACCCAGCCGCTTTGAAAAATTCAGTTGCCAGCCCTAAAAGTTGACCCAGTTACCGTAACCCTAGTTAATTTTTAAACGGATTCAGTCCCAATTGTTAACTGCCACCCAGGGAGCTAACGAACCAATAGCTTCCTTCAAGAAACCAACGTAAAAATACAGTTAATTTTTCAAATAACTGTTATTTCGAACTTTTCGTCCCTCAAAAACCAAGTGACCCTGCCTTCATGGGCCCTTTAAAGAAATTTTTGAAATTTATTTTGGCCAATTGCCAAACTGGCATGCAGAGAACCTAATCCAAGCCTACAGTACCCTCGATATTTGCAGCGATGGACGAGAAGAAGCTCGCCCAAGGCCCATCGGCCCGCCATTCGGCATTCACCTCTATCGTTCTGGCCACTGTGGCCATCACGGCCTGTTTGGTGAGTTGTTGTAGTCTGTAGTCTACTCCTTCTACTAGGTGACGATCCCCCTCGTGTTCTCCTATGTGCAGACCCTTGAGTCGTCTGTCCAGATCGAGATCGAGAGCTGCAAGGCTCGTGCTCGCGATTTGTGGAGGGAGATGCTCGAGGTTCAGGTGAGCTCAGATTACAAATTCAGTCCCAAGCTCCCAACTGGCGATCAGCAAAGCCAAATCGGAGCTCAGAATTCAAAAAGCAAAAGGCAAAAACTTTCTGACCGCGTCCGGGATCGAACCATCGACCCTAACCTTATCAAATCCACTAATTTTGCAGATCGGCGCCGGCCGTCCCCTTGCCACCCGTGTTGCCCGTTCTGCCGTTCTCGCCACCGAGGGAGATCGCGGAAAGTGAGTGGCATACTGTAATACGATTTTAAAGGGACCTGGACAGCTAGATATCGGATTTCCCCGGTGTCACTCCCCCTTTAAACGCCTGTTTTCAGGCGCGACTACTGGCAGGGCCAGTCCAGCTGCTGCACTTGCCAACGTGGAGCTCCTGGAGCCCCTGGAACACCCGGAAGTGATGGAGCTGATGGTGTTGATGGAGATATTGGAGAGGTCGGGAAGGCTAACAGAGATTATTTGGGAAGGGGAGGTCGTGGAATCGATAAACTGGCTAGCAGAAAAGAGATTGGACCCAAAAAATCCATTGCAAATGGGAAACTAGCAGAGATTCTTGGGGAAGCGAAAACGGCCGTCTTGAGGGGGAAAAGGCTAACTAGCAGTAACCATTGGGGAGCACGAGTTAAATCTAGACAACCAAGCGATAAACTGTTGACCAGAAAGGTGATTGGTCTCTTGAAATCCTGAAGGGAGGGCTGGCTAGCAGAGATTTTTGAGGATACGGCAAAGGCAGACTAGCAGAGGTTTTTCAGGATGGATAGCTTCCGAAAAATTCTAGCTTTTGCGAAAAGCGGTTAACTGACTGGCAACATGAGTCTAGAGTATGGTAACGTACTCCTACAGTACGGCTATTGAAAACTACAGTACGCTACCATACCCCCACCGTATCCTCACGTACCCCACCGTAACCCCCCAATTTTTCAGGCTGGACCCCGTGGGCCCGATGCGTACTACGATGAGTCTCTGTACTCTCGTGGCCAGCCCCAATGCCCCTGTGAATCCCCCGCTGGACCCCCCGTAAGTTGGAGCCAAGCGGAATTTCGGCCTGTCACTGTCCCTTTAAAATAATATCTCCAAATTTGTAGGGTCCCCCTGGCCAGCCTGGAGAGCCCGGAGGTGCTGGAGCCCCTGGACAGCCCGGAAGCGGTGGAGGAGTTGGAGCCCCCGGAGAGCCTGGACGCGATGGACAGCCCGGAGCACCTGGAAACCCTGGACGCCCTGGAGCCCCTGGTGCACCCGGACAGATCACCGGAACCGTGCAGGTACGGCACAATACTGTATAGTAGCCAGTTAGTTGATTTCAAAAACAAAAACGTGAAAACCTGGAAAAAATCACTAGCTGGGGCAAGTTTTTAGAATTTTAAAAAAAAAAATCGATTTTTCGCCTTTTTCCAAAACTCAACCCTAAAAATTGCCCAAATTACCGTAGTCCAGGGATTCAAAATTGTACTCTGGCAGTGAGAAAGGCTAAAAACAGCTTAAACTATGCTGAAAAGATCTTTGGAGCAACTTTCAGACTTTCAAAAAATCGATTTTTGGATTTGCGTAAAAGTCATCCTAAAAATTGCAAAAATTACCGTAGTCTAGGGAATCGAAATTGTACTCTGGCAGTCAGAAAGGATAAAAAAAATTTAAACGAAGCAGCTGAGGATTTTGGAACGACTTTTTAGAATTGCAAAAATAGAATTTTTCCCATTTTCAAATCCGCAATCCTAAAAATCATTTAAAATACCGTAATCCGTGACCTGGAATTTCGAAACTGACGGCCAGAAAGGCTAAATAACACCTTAACGCGGCCTTTAGAGCTTTAGCACTCAACTCGGCCGCCTAGAACGGGAAATACCCCCATAAAATCCGCAAAATTTTCAGGGAGCCCCCGGCCAGCCCGGTCAGCCTGGACAGCCTGGACGCCCCGGACCCAAGGGACCCCCCGGATTCCCTGGAGAGGCTGGAGCTCCCGGAAGAAATGGAGAACCCGGACCCGACGGAACTCCTGGACGCCCTGGAGAGCCCGGAAGGGATGGAGCACCTGTAAGTCAAGAATTATACGTTAAAATACGAATTAAAACTATTTAGAAAATACTAATTATATCTAGATAGTATCTCGAAAATACGAAACCTTACTATCGACAAAACCAGCGAACCCGCGCGGCAAATCGAAATTTTTCCCACCCGCGCACCACCTGGCCCACTAGACCTCAAAAAAGCCGTTAAAAAATCAATTTCCGCCCTCTAAATTGCATTTTTCAGGGTCAACCCGGCCGTCCTGGAGACCGTGGAGACTGCTCTCACTGCCCTCCGGCTCGTGTTGCCCCCGGATATTAAATTGTCCGCGGATGATCGTCCAGGGTTTCCCCAGGCGATTTTCGGCAATAAATATGCCAGCATCAAGCGTTCAGGCGATACACTGCATGACAGATTACGCAATACACCTAAAAACGGACTTGGTCCAGGAAAATAACGCCTCGAAAACCCGGAAAAGTTTTTTGGCCACCGTAGTATAGTGGTAAGCATCCGGGTCAACCAATCTCAAGGCCAGGGTTCGGATCCCAGGGGCGGGAATTTGTTTGCTTTTTTATTTTTTTGAAATGTAGCAGCTTCCTGGGCTCATCTGGAGTGTCTTAAACGCCTAAAAATTCAGGAATTCAATCTCAAAGCTTCAGGAAAGAGCCAAAAATCCAAAAATTGCTAAAAATCGAAAAATATACAATTTTTCTCGTAGAAATTTCGCTATTTCTCGGCAGATAAGAGAACGTGAAGCCTTCCACTCTTCTATACCCTTTTTTCAAGATCTCCCATCCCCCTTTCGGAGGCCATTTCTCGAGATAAGAAGTGGCTGAGGGGCTGGTGGGGGTGTCTAATGGGTGGAACGGCCGTTTCGACGACGACACCCCGGCTACTTATTCTTCTCCTTTTCTTTCTTTCTCTCGTGTTCTCTTCGTCTCCCTCTGCTTCTCCCCCTCTCTCGTGTTATATCTGTGATTCGACGCTCGACTATGGATGCACCGAGACAAGGGTATGTACTTCAAAAGCTCCGATTTTCCGAAATTTCGAAAAATACACCAAAAAGCTTGAAGTCGCCTTAAAATCGTGTAAAAATTATAGCCTACAAGTTACGGCACAAATTTTGCATCCTAAAACCAAAAGATCGGCCAGAAATTCGGTTAAATAGAAATGAAAATCCTTTTCGAAATCGCAAAAATCTCTAAAAAATTCTAAAAAACTCCATTAGCTATATAAAATCGTGTAAAACAGCGGCTACAAACTATGGAAGGATTTTTAAACTTTAAAATAAAAAAATCGGACAGAAATTCTTGAACATAGCGGTGAAAAAGCCAATTTTGCCCCTGGCAGTCAACAAAAAGCCATGTATCAAAAATGACGACTCGAATTTCGAAAAAGAATACAACTTAGATGATCTATAAAAAATCCTTGAACGCCCGCTACTTCTAAAATCACAAAAACTCGTCGCTTCTAGGTGTCCCGGGAGCACATCGCAGAATGCGGAGAGCTGACATTTGACACATATCGACGACAACCAATTGGATGTCTCAAAATGATTGACAAGGATTATCGTATGTTTTTATCGGATTAGAAAAGGATTCGCTAGGTCAGATTACTTGAGAAAAGCAAGCAAAAGGTCTAGATTTTATTCCTCGACAAGAAAAGGCGGAAATTCGCCATTTTGTCAGCGATTTAGGCCTAGAAAAATCTAAATCCGGCTTCAAAAATCGCACAAAAAAAAATAAACACTTTAGAAAATGCGCTCTTTCCTCGGCCATTTTTAAATCGAAAAAATCACGCTAAAAAGTTATAAAAATGGTTTTTTTACCGCAAAAAAAGCGAAAAAAAATTGGCTTCCAACCATTTTAAGCCTAGAAAATCGTAAAAATCTCGAAAAGTCACGCTAAAAACGCCCCAAATCGCGGAAAAAGCGCCGATTCTACTCGCTTAAAAACGCGTCTATAAAATGAACATTTGCAGACCCGTACCGGATCATCCGCAGTTGTTCGTATATGGGTCGAGTGAATGCCCACGGGAGAAGAGCGAATAATAAGGTCGTATACCAATGCAGTGGCGAATCTGAATGTAATACAGCGAATGGAAAGCGGTATTGGGCATTGTCGATCGGGATTTTGAGTCTATTACTGCTTACTGGTATTTTGCGATAAAGATAAAAGTCTCAAAAAAAGGATAATCGCGTCAATTTTTCACCGTTACCAGAGGATATCATTTTTCTGGTCTAAAAAACCTCGAAAAGCCGATCCCGTAATTTCGAAAAACAGATCGATCAAAAACAACGAGAATCCTAAATTATGGCCGTGAAAAAGACAGGGATCTTGTGCGTTATCGGGGGGGGGGACGGGTTTCCGGAGGATTTAATTTTCCAACATAAAAAAGGAAGCTATTCTGCGCTTTTTATTCCTAAAACTAATTCAGATTTACAAATTTCGAACCAAAATTTATACGTTTTGCGCAACAAAAATCAATTTTTTGCAACATTTTTCAAGGTTTTTGCGCTAGTTTATCATTTTAAAAGCGGCAAATTTTCTAATTCTACTTTCAAATTCTTGTTTTTGACTTTCTCTAGAGATAACTGTCTCGAAAACACGATATCCACGCAAATTTTCAAAAATTCATCAAAGCAATCATTTATCAAACCAATCAAGAATAGCCCATGGAAATGGGGGCGGCTAAATAAATGGAGAGTGGAATTAGTATTTGGATGGAATCTGGAGAAAAGGGGCAGTTTTTGGACGGGGGATTTGAAAGACACAACAAAGAAAGAAAAAGAAATAGCGAGGCGAGCGAGTAAAAGAAAAGAAAAGAAGAAACAACGGAGAAAACAAAAGCATTCAGAATGCATTAGACAGCGTCGAATCGAATACAGAGAAAGAGAGGTACTGGTCTATTAGCGGGGGGGGGCATTTTTGTACCGTTTTTTATGCATTTTTAATAATTTTCCATTGCTATAAAACCATAAAATATGTGTCAAATTTGAAAGTTTTAAAAAATGGGACTTTTCGGTCCTTTTCAAAATTCTTTTTTCCCTAAAAATCAGATATGTTCGAATTTTATTATATATTCAGGCTTTTTAAAATCGCGAAAATTTGAAAAATTGCTCCCCCCCGCTAACAGACCAGTACCTAGAGAAAGAGAGAGAAAAAAAAGCAGCTATGCAGTGATGGCAAAGGCGGCCTGGATGGCCAGTTGAATGGTTTTCAGTTGATGAACAATCCCTCCATTATCCGTATGCGTTGACAGGGGCCGAGAAGGGCCCGACAGCCATTCTGTCTGAAAAACCAACAAAAACATTTAAAATATCTATTTTTTGGAACTTTTTCATTATCGGGAGGGGGGGGGCAAATTTTTTTACATACAACGCTATCTTCCTCATATAAAAACACGTTTCTGAGCCATTTTCTACTATTTCTAAACGTGAAAACTACTAAAATTTGACTAAAAAAATATATCTAAATTTTCTACCAAAATTCAATTTCTAAAAATTTTTCTAATTTTTAAAAATCGTTTTTTCGCTTGAAATACATGTAGATTTCACCAAAAATGATTAAAATATTTCTATGATGTCACTAGGAAAATCTGGATGTATAGAAAATTTAACCCCACCCCCGATAATGTATCAGCTCCAAAACTGTACCTTATCGAGCAGGGCCCTCAATTTATCGTATTCCCTCTCCTGCCTATCCATCAAATGATCGAGCCGTATCTTTTCATCGAAATCCTCCGTTTTCAGCCATTCTCTAAACAATAAACAATACATTACGCCATGTAATTCCTACTCGTATTCGGCCTTGTATTTCTCATCCAATTCTTCCATTTCTTGTCGGCATATCCGGGTGAATGGACGGAGAATATTGTCTCGAGTCGACGGGACCGTCGAGCTGATGATGTGGCGCAACTAAAAAAATAAAAATTAACCAGGGTTGAAAAACCGTTTCGCGGCTTCAACCCTGGCCCCTCTCTCAATGATATCTGCTGCATAATTTTCTCGGATTCGGATGCCGAAAAATGAAAAATGCTCTTGCCGTCCCTTTATATAGGCTACCGGGATTTCCGGTGCATGCTAATTTGATCCTAACAAATTGGGGTGTCCGATTTTTCATGAAAAACTTAATTTTAATGCCGAAAACATCAGATTTTGTAAAATCTAATATGGGTGCTGTCATCTCCAGCCCATTACGCATCTAATGACGTATCGAACATACCCCTAAGTACTTCCCCTCTTGAGATACTACTGGAACACGGTGACGGAAGTTGCATGCAAATGCACACACACACAGGAACTATTTTTTTATATATAGTAGGATCATAAAGATAAAGATAAATAGATTTTTTGGTGCTGTGGCAGTATCGGGGGGCTAATTTTTCCGATTAGCAGATGAAATGGCGGAACTGAAACGAGAAAAATAACTTTTCAAACAGGGTTTTTGGTGCTGTGGCATTATCGGGGGGCAAATTTTTCTAGGACCTAATTCTTCTAATTTAAACAGAAACAGCGTTTCGCCACTGGTTTTAAGTATTCCGAGACCTAAAACTTTACAATATTTATGAGAAAAATGCAAAAATGTAGATTTTGAAAAAATTTGAATTTTTTTAAGATAGTTTCTGCACTTGAAATATGGTTAATTTGGCTAAAAAGCGCGAAAGCGGCTCCCCCCGATAATGCAACAGCTCCAAAAATTCCTAAACGGTTTCTTCGAGCCATCCATCCCCTTACAGCGGCATTCGACGGGAAGTACTGCTTGAGAAGGGCGAGCACTTGCTGGCGGTTCGCGTCAAAAGAATACGACGTTTGCGTGTTCTAAAAAGGAAAAATTATTTTCCAAATTCGAAAATAAAACCCACATTAGAAGTGACGAGAAAAGGGACGGTGCGCTGCTTCGGCGAGGCCGAGACGGATTTGCGCGCCGGCTGAAAAAAAACACGTATAATTATCTTAATTTGATAAATCATGAGTAAAGACACACTAAAATTCAGAATAAAAACTAAAATCTATTAAAATAAAAATAATAATTTAAAAAATCGGATTAAAGCCGTAAATCATTTAAAATAAAAATTTTTGTAAATTACTACATTAAAAATTAAAATAATCAAATAGGATTGTAAATGATACCTTCAGTTTGGCGGCGGTCGTTTTTCGAGCGGAATTGAGGGTACGACGCCTCTCTTCTTGGATTGTCTCCCGGAAACGGACACCGGCAAGGGTTGCCCTGAAAAAGAAAGGCGTTTTTCAGTTATTTTTTACTTCGCAAAATTGATAAAAATACTTTTTAAGGGCCAAAAACTGCATGTAAAATTCTGAGCTTTCCGGGCCGGACCGGACCCGGAACTTAACGGAATTGATTTTTGGTTCCGCAAATCTATAAAATGATTTTTACGGTGATTTTTAATTATTTTTTGCGTGTTAAAATACGTACTTAGTACTCTCCGGAAATCGCTTTTTCTTCGGGATGGCGTCCACATCCATTGGAGCGCCAAAAAGATCACGACCAGCTGAGGAGGAAGAAGCGGATGGCTGACGGGGCAATACAGGCAGTGAAGATGATCTGAAGGCATACGGTAATTTGGGCTAGAAATAGCGGACATGATCTTTTGCATTATCGGGGGGGGGAGGCGGGAATTTGTCGCAGATAATCAGATATGCCTATAAACGTAGCAACAAGTACCTTAGTATGAATTTAAAAAAATTAGCCATATTTAAATTTTAAAACTGAAAAATTATCCAAAAAATCAAAAACGAATTTTTGCTCGAAAAAACGATATTTTTGTATTTTTAATACACGATTGTAAAGTTTCTACGTTTCAGACTAGTAAAAGACAGTTTAGAAAATTTTTAGGCGGCATAAAAGCGAAAATTTTGCTTGAAAATCGAGCTTTTTCGTTTTTTATCACATTTTGTAGGAGCTCCCCCCGATAATGCCAAAGCACCAGCGGAAAACGGACTTTTTGACATTGCCACCGCACAACTGCTCGAACGGGGGGATTGTGATGGATGGTTGATGGGTACTGTACTCCAGATGACCAGGCATCGACGAGACACCCGTTTTGTCGGCCGTTGCCTGGAAATTCGGGGACTGGAAAAAGCATAGAAATTCAGTTGTACCTGCATGGATCGATCATTCATGACAATTCTCTCGATTCGAGGGGCAGAAGAGGCCGTCGTCTTCTTCCGGTTCAATCCGCTGTCCGAGCAGATACGCGGCAGATCCGCCTGGAAATGTTGCTTCGTGATCTGCCTTTTTTGTTTTTAAATTCTTTTTCCTACAGTTGAAACGCGTCAAAAACGGCCGTAGCATTCCTAGAATTCCGGGATTTTCCTAAAAACATTTTTCAAAAATTTCCGAAGAGGCGAAACAGAAATCGGTGCTTTTGCAGTATCGGGGGGGGGGGGCTAATCGTTGTCTTTAAGCCCAGAAATGACTATAAAGACAATATTAAGTTTTAATGATGTTTTTAACTAAATTTAATAATGGTTACAGCAGAAAAACTATTTAAAGAATCAAATGTTTTGCTATTTTGGTCGGAAAAACTATATTTTTTAGTTTTTAGTAAAAACTTGTAGCATTTTCACGTTCAGGAATAGTAAAAACGGTTTAAAAACACCTCTTCCATTCATATTTAAAAAAAAATTGGATCCGAAAGAAAAAGTTACGTCCCCCGATAATGCAAAGTTCCAAAAATTCCCCAAAAAGCGCTAAAAATACCTGTGCCGATCGATCGAATCTTGATTTCGGTTGGGCGGGTGGCGGCGGGGGCGGGAATTTATTCCTCAAGTGTTTCTGCTCGTTTCCGACCATTCGTGTCGATGGTTCTCGTCCATTCTTCGCAATTTCAAACACGAGCCCTCCCGTCCGGGGTTTTTGTTCATCTTCAGCATCGAGTCGAGGGACAGTCTTGTTATGGACATCCGATGACGACGGGTAAGTCTAAAGGAAATTTTGTAATAAAATTCAAATAAAATAAGTAATTAATTAAAATTAATATCAATTAAATTAAATTAAAATTAACTGCCCGGAATTAATTTCAATTCAATAAAAATAATTACCATAGGCGGGCGCTCGTCCCTGGGCTTGGCCCGTTGCACTTCGATTCGCTCGGAACGGGCTGAACGGCTGAAAAAAGGTACTGTTTCGTTAACGGGGGGGATAAATATCAATAAATAGTTTCTTCAAGTTTTTAGCAATTTCCCATTACCAGAAAGCGTAACAAATGTTTTAAAAAATTGAAATTTTTCGATATTTCCCATTTTCAAAAAGTTTTTAAACGTTTTCTAGCGAAAAAAATTCGATGTAAACCTTATAATAAGGCTAATTTTTCATCCTACGCCCCCCCCGCTAATAACCCAATACCGAGAAAAAACCCGTGCAAGCTAGCAGAGAAATTTGCGGAAATCAAAACACCCACATTGGCATGGTGATTTCGGATGGGGGCCTGACGTAATAGTGCGAGTCTTCGGGGAGCACGGGCTCAGGACGTGGGACATCTCGATGTTGCGGTGGCTGTTGATACTGCTGTACTTGTTGGTGTTGCTGTCGATGTAGGCGTTCCTCGAGTCCATGCTGGAGTCGCGCCATTACTTTCACGTTTCTAAAAACGAAAATTTTTATGAAACCTGAAAAATCCCCCATTTTTCGTTTTCGTTTTTTTCAGAAATTCCTGAGGCTATAATAAAAGTATTTTAATCGTATTTTTGAGCAAAACTAACTATATTTTAAATGGAAAGCACTTAAACTCTGAAAATCCGAGATTTTTTGTCGAAAATCGACCATCTTTGATCCAAAAATCGGTAATTTTCAATTTTCCCTTCAAAAGTTGTAATTTTTTACGTTTAAAATGAGTGAAAAAAGTTTACAACCTTTTGCCCTATTTATTTTATAAAAATTGGATCAGTGGAAAAAGCTGTCCCATCCCCCGATAATGCAACAGAACCACAAAAAACGTTGATAACATTTTTCATCGAAAAATTGGCCATTTTGGTCGAAAAATCGGTATTTTTAGGCAACCTGAACCAAAAACCTACTTCTGAATCTCCTTCTCCAAATTCGGCGTGCTACAGGTCGACATTGGGGAATCAAGGATCGATCCCCGACTCTCGCATCGATCGAATGAACTCTAAAACCAAGAATAAATTCAGTTTTTAAGCCATCGAATTACCTGCCGACTGCGCATAGACATCTCGGCGACATGCTTGTGGATATTGTCGAGACTGGCCATTCCCCGCTGAACCTCAGTCAACACACTGTTCGGGCGACGCGGAAGCGGCAAGACTGTCACTAAAAAGGAATCATCAGGGGGTCCTAAAGGTAAAAACCCTATAACTCGACGTAGAACGATCGGATCGGAATGAGAATTTTACGATTCGAATGCCCAGAAAATGGTGAATTTGCCACGACTATCATAGCTATATTTTTTTATTTAAATAGTCCATTTTCGAGGCTATTTTTAGAAATTTCCGTGTTCTTCGGGGCGCTTATGAGCTCATTTTCTTCAATTTTCCAGACAAAATGGCCGAAATGGCTGTTATTTAGATGTAGAAATGATTCCTAAGTTTTTCAAACACTATAAGATGGCGTGTATAGCCAAACAATCAATAGAAAGTTGCTAAAATACATCTTTTCCGGGGTTTCTTTCGAAAAATATAACTGTCATACCGATTTTACCCTTTTACGTCGAGATAGAGAGACGCTTTCATGTGTTTTTAGACTCTTTTTAGCGCTGTAATTTTCGCAAACATTTCCTCACCAGGCCCTCCCTTCTTTGGCGATGAAGCCTTGATGTCATGATGATCGACTTGATAGCTGTATTGAAAGGAGCCATCGTTCGGCTCAGGATCATAGAGGGTAGACATATAGAGACGAGCCGACGGCTGAAATGATAAATATATACAAGAAATGTAAGGAAAAGGAATAAAAAACGGCAAAAAAGCCCCAAAATAGCGAATAGTGCATATTTTACGACTACAAAAATAAAAACCAGGAGGGAAAGATGTAAAACAGAAAGATAACTTGGAAATACTTTAAATTACTTACTTTAAAACTACGAGAACAAGCTTGAGTAATTAAATATAAGAACTGTACGTAAAAGCTATAAAAACCGTCAAAATAACGATTGTTAAAATTGGCGTCAAACTACAAACAAAATTACTTAGTTATTCGGCCTTTTAATTTGTTAAATCGCAAACTACAGGCTACAAACCCCTCTAAAAAGAAAGATGGGGTAATGGGCCATTTGAATGGCGATTCTCATGGCTTGGGGAGGGGACAGCCCGCCAACCAAGGGGTTTCGAAAGGGCGTGCGCGCGCCAGTGGGGCAGTACGGGAGTCTGGCAATGCTTAGAAACTTAATAGTAAGTACCAGGGTTGAAAAGCCGCTTCGCGACTTTTCAACCATGGCCCCCGTCTAATACCATGATGTTCATTATTTTGCATAATTGCGCCTCAATTCCGATAACAAAAAAATAAAAAACGCTGCCTTTGTGCCTTTATATAGGCTACTGCAACTTCCGGCGTATGCTAATTTCATCCTAACAAAGAGGGCGGCCGAATTTTTACGAAAAACTTAATTTTAATGTCGAAAACAACATAATTTACAAAATCTGAAATGTGTGCAGTCATCTCCAGCCTATTACGCATCTAATGACGTATCAAACACCTCCTCAAACCCATCCTCTCTCGAGATATCCTCCGGACACGCTGACGGAAGTTGCATGCAAAGTGGCACACACACACACACACAGACACTATTTTTTTATATATAGTAGGATTTTGATAGTGCCTTTAGTCAAATGTAACTACATTTCAAGTGGAAGAAATAATCAAAAAAAGTTATAATTTTTAAAAATCTAAATTTTGGCCAAAAATCGGCCATTTTTGGTCGAAAAGCAATATTTTTAGTATTTCCTAATAGATTTTGCAAAGTTTATAAGTTTCTAACGCTTTTCATCCCCTTTTTCACATCAGATGAAAAGCTTCAGCAGCGTGTAGGCGCTCTAAATCTCCCAAAACTGAAATTTTTAGTCTTTTCCTATGTTTTTCCAAAGTTAACGTCTACTGACTAACAAAATTAAGTAGAGAATGTCGCCTAAAAACCGCCTAAAGACCCATCGACGTTGCCCCAAAGGGCGATACGCTTCGGCGATTCTGAATGGATGCATTAGGGCGAGATTTCTTGGGAAAATAGCCGCTGCTCGGGAAACAAAAGCGGGATATACACAAAAAAGTCTGGCCCACTGATATACGATTTTTACAAAAACTAGGCGAGCGGCTGTAGTGTTTTTGTTAAAAACCAGGCGATCGGTAGTTCTCCTGAAAGTGATAAATTCGCGTTTTGACGCCTAGAAAACCATAAAATCAACTATAATAATTTTCTTGACGCGTCTGTCCGTCCGTCCGTCCGAAGCCGAATTCAACTCGAAGGGGAAAAGAGCTAGAGCTTAGCTCTCTTCGGATTCGGATAGAGCGCCGCCAGAAACCCCCAAACTGATAAAAAAATTATGAAAAAGTTTTAGTTTAAATTATTAAAATTAACTTTGAAAGTTTTTTCCTTAGTAAAAGGGGTGGGGGGACGGAGGTTGCCCGATTTTCGCATAGTGAGCCAGGTCGCGCGCGTTTCGTGGATGAAAATTTTCACGGGGAATTTCATTTCTTTTTTCTCTCATTCCATCCGGTCGGTCGTTATTTTTGTTTTTTAAGGGGATTTCAGCCATGGGGGGTATCTGAAGCCATCAGGGAGGTATTTAGGTTGATTTTGAAGGGGATTTCAGCCATGGGAGGTATCTTAAGCCATCGGGAAGGTATTTAGGTAGTTTTTGAAGGGGATTTCAGCTAGGGGAGGTATCTTAAGCCATCGGGAAGGTATTTAGGTTGATTTTGAAGGGGATTTCAGCCATGGGGGGTATCTGAAGCCATCAGGGAGGTATTTAGGTTGATTTTGAAGGGGATTTCAGCCATGGGAGGTATCTTAAGCCATCGGGAAGGTATTTAGGTAGTTTTTGAAGGGGATTTCAGCCATGGGAGGTATCTTAAGCCATCGGGAAGGTATTTAGGTAGTTTTTGAAGGGGATTTCAGCCATGGGAGGTATCTTAAGCCATCGGGAAGGTATTTAGGTAGTTTTTGAAGGGGATTTCAGCCATGGGGGGTATCTTAAGCCATCGGGAAGGTATTTAGGTAGTTTTTGAAAGGGATTTCAGCTAGGGGAGGTATCTTAAGCCATCGGGAAGGTATTTAGGTAGTTTTTGAAGGGGATTTCAGCCATGGGGGTATCTTAAGCCATCGGGAAGGTATTTAGGTAGTTTTTGAAAGGGATTTCAGCTAGGGGAGGTATCTTAAGCCATCGGGAAGGTATTTAGGTAGTTTTTGAAGGGGATTTCAGCCATGGGGGGTATCTTAAGCCATCGGGAAGGTATTTAGGTAGTTTTTGAAAGGGATTTCAGCTAGGGGGCGTATCTAAAGCCTTCGGGAAGGTATTTAGGTAGTTAGTAGAAGTAGGTGGATAGTTAGGTGTATTACATCAAGGGTAACCCGAAGGCCAGATGGTTACAGTCGCGAAGCGACTGGAACCATCTGGTTAATTTGATAAAAACAAATTTAGCCCTCTAATGAGCTGAATAAGACCGTGGGAATCTGGAAAATCAGAAAAAGAGCTCTAGGTGGCAGCTGGACTAATAATTAAAAGAAATCGGCCGCCCGGACTAATGGCCAGATGAAGCCACAAAAAAAGGAATTGCGGGGGAGGCGGAAGGGGACTAGACGAGACGACGGATATCCTTGGCAACGAAGTGGGGAAGAAGAAGCAAGAGAAGAAATGAAGGCTAAAGACGCGGAAAAAGAAGCTTCGAAGCTGCCCGTAACCACTAAAATTCTATATTAGCTTTGCGGGTTCTTTTGCCATATCGGTGGGGGGCAACCTTTTTTCAGAAGTCCAGAAATATCTAGTAATTAAATAGTAAGTATTTTTGTGATATTTTTAGTAAAATTTAACTACATCTACACTGGAAAAACTCGCAAAAAGTGTTTGAAAGTTCGAAATTTCGTCAACGAAACGCTTAGGAATAGTAAAAACCCGTATAAAAGCATTTCCGCTATTTATATTTGCAAAATTTTATCCTAGACCCCCGATAATGCCAAAGAACCGATAAAAACACATTGTTGCAATTTTTTTTACAAAAATCAACCCGTAAAATTTCAAGGGAATCTGCCAATTCTCACCAAATTTTCGAGCAACATTTATTCGACAAGCCCAAGGCGGTAGAACGGAAGTGGATAGACAATAAAACGAGCAGAAAATGGGGCAGGAACAAGAAGAAATAGGTGAAAAGTTGAGTATTAGGCGGTCGCTGAGTCCTCATCATCAAGCTGGTCGAGGCGGCCCCTGAAAAAATGGGATTACAAACGCAAAAAAAATGAAATTTGGAGCTTTGGCGTTATCGGGGGTCGAAGCTTTTCTAATTTCAATAGCGCAAAATATTACACACAGTTTTAATTACAAAAAATACAAAAATAGCTTTTCGTGAAAAATCTCCGTTTTTCAGCCAAAATCGCAAAATTTAGTTATCTTTATTTTTTAAATAATTTTAAACAAAGAGCAAGATACCTGGTTGATGATGCCGGACTCGCGGAAGATGGCCAACTTTGGGCAGGCGTCGATTTGATGGAACCGGTCGCAGCAAAGAAGACATCCGGTGGGGATGAGATTCCGTTGCTGCAGGAGGAGACGCGTTGGACATTGTTGAAGACAGTGGCTTTGACATTGGCACACCGGGCAGCCAACACTACACGACGATACGGCTGATGACGGCGATTCCTGCAAAAAAATACATAGAAAAAAATATCACAAAATTCTAAAAAAATTTCAGATTAAAAAATATTTGAAAGCTACAGAATTAAATTATTTATAATTTAAAAATTAGAAAAAACTGACCACTTGCGTCGCTTGGGAAGTGAATGACGGCGGAATTTGCTGGGGGAGCGGAGCTTCCTGTTCCGGGATCGCCTAAAATCAGGGTAAATTTTCTAAAAAGCGAAAAATCAACGTTTTCTAATATAAATAAATAGAAGGCAAGTTTCTATAAAGTTTTCCGGTTTCAAAATTCAAAACATTAAAATGACCTATAAAACATATAGAAAATCGCCGAATCTCGGCCAAAAATGATTTTCAAAAATTTTCAAGGTTTTCTAAAACATTTTTACGCTTTAAATTCGGCTAAATTGATAAAAAAACTCTTCAAAATACTCGTTATTACATTTACTAGGCATTGCTGGGATTCTAAGGAATAAAATTACCCCCCCCCCCCCGATACTGCACAAGCCCCTATTTTTCCAGATCGCAAAAACCCGGTAAAAATACCTGTTGCGGTGAAATATTGGCGACTTGGTATTGTTGGGGGGAATGCTGTTCCATCGAATATTGTTGAGTGGCCCTCTGTGGTGTCGTGGTTACGGCTATCGGCTCGCCAAAAACTGAAAAAACGATTAAAAATTGAATTAAAAATCACCTTTCATGCCGTCGATCCAGAATTCTTGCCTCGGGAGAATCGCTGATGTGTCGTCTGAAAAAAAACCCATCAAGTTGCGGTTCTTGCGCATTATCGGGGGGGGGGGAACTAATCTTTTCCGAGCGATCCAGAAGTGCATTTTTAATATTGTTTTTTAGTAAAATTTACTTACATTTGAAGTGGAAACATTATCTAACAGCTTCCAAAAATTTGTTAAATCGGAATTTTGGCCGAAAAATCGATTTTTGGGCTTTGAAACGGCAAAAAAAGTGTTTAGAAAGAATCGGACCCTAGGAAAAAAAGTTAGTCCCCCTCCGATAATGCCAAAGCTCCCAAACGGCCAAATAATAGTTACCATTATTCGTTTGCCGTTCATTTTGTCGAATTTTTGAAGGGCTGTTGAATGGGGTGTGGTAGCTGGCGGCGGGAAATGAGGTGCTGCTCGTCGGAATTGCTTCTGAAAATAGAAAATTAATAGAATAAAATCGTAACCAAATAACGCACCTTTCGCTAGAGGCACTTCAACGTTTGATGGCGGCCTTCTCTTCGCTGATGGTCGGAACTAAACAAAAATATGGGTTTTATTGTATTTTTAAAACCCAATTTTTCTAAAATCAATAGAGAACCTATTTCTAAACTATTTTTAGCTAATTCTACACCTAAAAACTTTACAAATTTTCATAAAAACACAGAAATATCGATTTTTCCGGCAATGGGCCTATTTGGAGCAAAATTTGAACCTTGTAGATGGTTTTTACAGAAAAATTTCGGTACATTCTATTAAAAACTATTGAAACAGTTTCTCCATTTATATTAGAAAACAATTTGAACCATAGAAAAAGATAAAGATAGGATTTCTAACTGTAAAGTGTTTTTACTCAACTTGGAGTTTCGATTCGGGACCAAGTGCATCTTGTACAGAATTTTTCGCTGATTCCGAATATGTTTTCCAAATTTGCTACGGACCGTTATTCTGAAAGTTATACGGTAATTACGAACCTAGTTTTAACCAAAATGAAGGTATCGTTATAGTTTTCGATTTTCTTCATTAATTTCAACGTCAAAATTGACTAGGCGTTGGCTCGACAAGCATCCTACAGCTCAAAACAAGCATTTTAGATAAAAAATGAGATTTTTATGCAAAAAGCAAAAGAAAAAGCAAAAAAGCAAAAGCAAAAAAAGCTCTAAAACCGAGGAATAATTACCTTCGCGACGGGCATTCTTCAAAAAAAGAAGAAAAACGAGTAGCGCCTTCGTCCTAAAAACAAAACTTTATAAATTCTGAAAGGAAGCAAAAAAGATAGTAATTCTGCATTTTCAAGCTTTTTTTTGTTGTACTGTGCTGTCTCAAACAATCAATTTATTCAACGTAACAAGCAAAGATTATAACAAGTAAACTAGTAAAAGGCAGATTCAGCGCTTTTTATTCGTCTTTTGGCTGTTGTTCTTCTTGTTGGCGAAGTGGCTTCTGGCGCCTCATCTTCATGACGGCGCCGACGGCCTTGTCGACCAGCCCCTTCATCATGTCGCCCTGTTTCGCCAGATTCGCGATTCCCTCAGCCGTGATGTTGCACTGGTTTCGTTTCTAAATAAAAATGATAAACTGTCGGTGCTTCTGCATTATCGGGGGGCCCTATTCTTCCAGAAATGTTTGTAACATACAAATACGTATTTTAATGGCCTTTTTAGTAAATTCAACACTACTTAAAGCGCAAAAATCATCCAAAAAGCCTAGCAAAAAGGTTTAAAAATATGAAATTTTGTTCAAAACGGCAATTTTAGGTAGAACAATTGATCTACTATTACTAAACGCAAAACCTTGCCATTTTTTTCTTAAAAACGATAAAAATAGCGATTTTTAGGACAAAAACGCCGATTTTGAGCTGACATTTCGAATTTTCCAAGGTTTACAGATCGAGATTCCGCCTGAAATATCGCTAATTGCGCAAAAACATCATCAAAATCCTTAGCGTCATTATCAGAAATTTCTGGAAAACTAGGAAAAAACTTTTCTCCACCCCTGATAATGCAAAAGCTCCGAAAATTACCTCATCATCATGGAACATTTGCCACATCCTGTGCGTATTCTTGTGCACCTCCAGCAGGCATTCCTAAACAAAGAAAGCTCGAAAAGCGATAAATAGCTACCAGACTGGCCTCAATCTCATCAATGACCGTGTGGAATTTGTCAAGTGCATTCTGGAACTCGGGTCTTTCGCGCGATCCGTCATTCGCCGCCAGCTTCAGTTGTTGGGCGAATTTCTAAACAAACAAGATGATTATCTGTTCTTTTGCAGTATCCGGGGGAGCACTAATTTTCTCCTGAAAGTCCAGAAACGCCTAGAAACGTCAAGTAAGCATTTTAAAAGGGGTTTTAGCCACATCTAACTATATTTAGAGCGGAAAACCCTTCAAAAACTTAAAAATTAACTTAAAATACTTAACTGAACTTAAAAACGCTTAAAAATTTCGACATTTAGTTCAAAAATCAGCAATTTTTGCACGAAACATCTTTTTTTTTGCATTTTTCACAAAAATTTGGAAAGTTTTTACGTGTACGAATAGCAGAAATGCCTAAAGCATGTTCGTAGCAAATTTTAACTATATTTGACGTGGAAAACGTATCTAAAAACTTCGAAATTTTGCGCAAAAGTGGTTACTTTGGTCAAAAAATCCATTTTCTTTTGCATTTTCGCAAAATAGGTAGATTTTAAGCCTGGCAATCGAAAACAATAGTTTACAAATACTTCAGCTATTTAGACCAGGAAGTTTGGGTCCTTAGACAACCCCCGCTACCGCAAAAGAACCGATCTTCTCCATACCTGCATTACTTCTTGCATGTCGTCGAGCACCTTTTTTCGCACCGCGTCCACAGGGTTCTAGAAAGGGAAAAGGTAAATGTTATTAAATGCAGTTGTACGAGTTGGACAGTCGGTGGATGGGCGGAGGATGAGGCCGTGGGCTGGCCTGGCGATGCAGCGGGCTTTTCCGACGTGCTTCTTCCAGTCGACATCCAGATTGCTGCAAAAAAACTTAAATAAAAAGCAAAAAACGAGTCAATAGAATCTATAATGGAATTCAAAAATTTTAAAATCCAAAGAGAAAACGAAAAGGTAGAGATATCGAACGTTGCTGTACGCCCTGACGTAATTTGGCGTGGCTCGTACGGTTTTATATTTTCTAAGAATTTCTTTGGTCCATTTTTTGGTACTTTTTATAACTTTTATGTATTTTTTCTTATATAATTTGTATTGCTAATTTTTGGCTGCTCATTTTAGTGCTCAAGGTCTCGTTTTTGACGAATCGAACCTTTTAGCTGATTCCGATCGTTTTCCCGGTAGATTTTTCATCGTTTTCTGATCCATTTTTTGTTTATTTTCTTAGCGTGATCAAGTTAACCATATTTTCCAGGAAAGCAGACGATGGAGCAAGAGGAATGCGAGAAGGTACTGTTCGCTCTACAGGACCTGATCATTGCCGCGGAGGGCCGCCGATCAGCTCGTTTTCTTGAACGGTCAAGTTTTATTTTGTTTTCTTGCTTGATTTTGATTTAGTTGAACAACTACCGACCCCAGCAACGGGTCAAAAACGACAGAGCGTTGGCAATTGTGGACTGGCGGTTAGTGATTGAACCCTGCCACTTCGCCGCCGCAATTTTTTAGGAAACTTCTCGTCTCATCGTGTGCTCAACAAGAAAATAAAATTTTAAAATCCACAAAGAAAACGAAAAAGGAGAGATAATGAACGTTGCTGTACGCCCTGACGTAATTTGGCGTGACTCGTACGGTTTTATATTTTCTAAAAATTCTTTGGTACTTTTTATAACTTTAATGTATTTTTTCTTATATAATTTGTATTGCTAATTTTTTGGCTGCTCATTTTAATGCTCAAGGTCTCGTTTTTGACGAATCGCTTTTAACTGATTTCGCTCGTTTACCCGGTCGATCTTTTATCCTTTTCCTTTCGATTTTTCCTTTATGGCGATGTCAAATTAATCTCGCCTTTCCAGGAAAGCAGACGATGGAGCAAGAGGAATCCGAGAAGGTGCTGCTCGCTCTACAGGAATTGATCATCGTCGTGGTGAGCCGCCGAGCAGCTCGGTTTCTTGAACGGTCAAGTTTTATTTTATTTTCCTGCTTTATTTTGATTTAGTTGAACAACTACCGCTCTCGGCAACATCTCAAACACAACGGAACGCTGGGAATTGTGGACTGGCGGTTAGTGATTGAACCCTGCCACTTCGCCGCCGCAATTTTTAGGAAACCTCGTCCGATCGTGCGCTCGCCAAGAAAATGACGGGTTTTCGGCGAGACGAAGATTCACCACGCAGAAATGGAGCTATCAAAACGGATATGGCAAGCATTTACACAGCGGAAAGCCGTTCGTCGACCGAAAATGCTCAAAACATTCCCCCAAAACAGCCCTTCTGGCGCTTCATTTTTGCTCTAATAGCCTGGATTTAGCGTTATTCAATTAACAAAACGGAAAGTGGAAACGAAACTATGAATTTGGAGGGTTTTGTGTGTTTTTTCGATTTCACGATCTTCTAGGCAACCGATAGAACCGTAAGCAAAAGTCAATTTTTTTGCACGCGGTTTTCGATAGTTTTGACTAAAGTTTTGGAATAGAGCTCACGAGGAAAAAATATGTAGAATATTTATCGTTAATATACATTTCGGGGGGGCGCTAAAATTTGTCGATATTCACAGACACTCGGGGTGGTTGAAAGACACGGTATTTTGGAGGAGGGCGGGTGGCTAGAATTGCACGCAATAAATAGCATTAAATAAATAACAATAAATAAATATTGTAGTTTGCAGTCTCTTTCTCTTTCAGGGCTCAGAATCGAGGCAGATTCTCCACTTTGCTCGCCTTGTCCATATCCGCAAGATATTGGTAGCACCTAGAAAATGGAGCGATTTTCGGGATTTTTCAGGGCCCAAAATTTCCAAATAGTGTTTGCTAGCCTGCCTATCCCTACGATTTATCTATGATATACTTTTAGCTGGCAGCCAGTCGACCGATTAATGCTTTAAAATTCCGCAAAAAACCTCTGCTAGCATGCCCGGGCAAAAAAGTGCTAAATTTCAAGGCAGCTAATCGGCAATGGTTCTGAAATCCCCAAATCGCGTTTGCTAGCCTGCCAGTCAGTGTGATTTTTTTCGCCATCCAGTTTATCGATTGGTGCTCTAAATTTCCGCAAAGAATCTCTGCTAGCGTGTCCCGATGGTGAAAATGCGAAATTTCGGAGTAGATAATCGATTATTTCCTCTAATTTTTCCGCAAATGGTCTCTGCTAGTTGACCGGCAGACAGTCTATCAATTCCAGATCCAGAGATTCCGCAATGAAGTCTGCCAGCTGCCTACCTCTTCACAAGCCCAGCCACCCAAAAGCGGAACACGATATGGAGAATGCAGCCGAGACCCGCCCCCAAACACACCAATGTCCGAGTCTTGTGGTAGCCTGAAAATTGGGTTATTTTTAGATTTATTTTCAAGTTATTTGAATTTTTTTTGGATAATTTTTACTATATTTTAAGGTACTAAATTCAAAATTCAAGCGATCCTGAAGAGATTTAGTTATTTTGGAGCTTTTGCAGTATCGGGGGCGGGGAGGGGAGTATTTTCCTAAAAATCCAGGAATTCCTATTAACGTAGTAATCGAGTAGAATTAACTAAATAAAAATGGCAAAACTGTCTAAAAAATGTTTTCTAATGAAATTTTATACATTTTTCACGTTTAGGAATAACAAAAACGCTTTTTTTTGCATAATAATCCCTATAAAATGCGGCCACCTACCGTAATCCTCAATCTGTGCCCTGAATTCCCCCATCCACATGTCGACATCAAAGATGAAGATCACCGCCATTGCCACTGAGAATGCCATCGCAATGTACTGGAAAATTGGGTGTAGTTTTTATTTGACTTAGGGATCGTTTAAAATAACTTGGATTTATTACTCGGTTTTTAGACAAATTATAGGATTTTACTATTTGATTTTAGCAATTTTAAGGTTTGTCAAATTTAAAGCCGTAAAAATTGGATTTTTTTATTTAGCAACCCGTTTCCAAGCCTTTTGGGATAGGAAATTGGCTAAAAAAGGCTAGAGAAAAATAAATAAAATAAAGTAAAAATACCGATGTTTTGCACCCAAAAAAATGCAAAAGGGGGAGTCAGAAAGAGCATTCTTTTCAACCACAGACAGTCTGATGGGTAAACGGCGAATGTGCTTCAGTCATCATGTCGATTTGGAAGGGAGAGGGAGGCCTCTTTTATACCCCCCTCCCCCCGGGTGGGCCAGGTGACGCGCGTTTCGGGGGCAATGAGCGCGCAACTGTTCGGAGCTATTTTTAACCAATTTTTTTATATTTTTCGTATATTAATAAAGTTAACTAGTGTTTATAAAGTATAGAGAATAGATATAGTACGCGAAATATTAATTGAAAGGAGCCAGGAAGGCCAAAATATATTTAATATGAATTTTTTCGGGAAATTCGATTGCGTAACCGATTTTTTCGTGAGTTCCATAGCGTAATTCTTTAACCTTACTTGAGCATAGAGGAAGGGCAACAGAAGGCGTTTTGAAGAACACCGGAACGCCACAAAAACCAGCCCAGCACAGAACGCCTCCGAAAATAGCAAACCAAACTGAAATCGAATAGCTTGGAATTTTTCGACGAATTCAAGCAGTTCAGCCCCGCAAAAAACGTACGTCAAGGATGAATTTGGCGGCGGCAGATGGATCGAGACCTAGACGTTGACGGAGACGAACATCGAAGAATTGGAATGGGAAGAGAAACATGAAGAGAATGTAGAGCGACGCGATCAATTGGACGATTGTCTGAAAGGATTGAGAGGAGTAAGAGCAGAGATTCTTGGTGGAATGGGTGGACTGGCTGACAGAAGACTGGATTCCGGTAGATGGCAGGCTAGCAGGGGTCATTTGGGGAAATTCTGGACAGAAAGTGTTCAATTTGGCCAGCTGGGCGTCAGATAGCCGGATTATGGAAAGAGCAAGCTAGCAGAGACCATTTGGGCAGTATTTTTACGTTAACTGGTTAGCAACTAGTGGATTGCTTTCGAAAAGAAGGTTAGCAGAGGTCATTTGCGGAAATTCTGGCCGGAAAGCCCGTAGCTGCTAAACTGGCTGTCAGTTAATCGAATTTTTGCAAGAGCAAACTAGCAGAAACCGTTGGGGAATTACTTTTTCGTTAACTGCCTGCCAGCTAGCAGATTGCCATCGAAAATCAGGCCAGCAGAGGCCATTTGCGGAAAATATGACTCGAAAAGTACTTGTTTGGGCCAGCTGACTGTCAGACAACAAATTTCAGAATCAAGGGCAAGCTAGCAGAGGCAATTTTTCGATATTTTCCACGACTTACCTTAACATGTAGCCCACAAGAAGTGTAGACCTGTTCGGCAGCCGCCGAGAATGATGATCGTTTCGCCTTCCACGCCGCCCCCAGGACCGCCATTTTTCACGCACGCACCGCTTTTCCGTCGGCTAACTGGGGGCTATCTAAAGAATATTTATTTGAAAAATACAAACAAAAATATACACAAAGTCGATAAAAACATGAAAACAGGGCCCGCGAGGTGTGGCCAATTGGTAGTGTGTTAGACTGTCGGGCAGACGATCCGGGTTCGAATCCCGGGCGCGGGAAAGTGTTTTTCTTTTTGGGATAAAGGTAGGAAATAGGGTTTAAAATAGGGGATATATGGTAGAATTGGATGAAATGGTTAGAAAAGGGTCGGAAAGGCCAGGAAAGGGGACTCTGGACGTTTGGAGGACTGGAAAGGAATCGAGGTCTTCAGAAGGGGATCGATAGAGAGAGAGAGAGAGAGAGAGAGAGAGAGAGAGAGTGCTCTCCATCTAGGGCCCTCCTCCCTCCCCGTCCCTTCCAAACAAAGAAGCAGAAGAACATACAGACCCCCCGAGGGAACGGACTGACTGACTGACTGTCCATTTGTGCTGCTTGTTTGTTTTTCTGTTTCTCTGCCAGTCAGTCTATCTAGCGCGCTCTCTCTCTGTCTCTCTCTCTCTCTGTCTCTCTGTCTCTCTCTCTGTCTCTCTCTGTCTCTCTCTCTGTCTCTCTCTCTGTCTCTCTCTCTCTCCTCAAAAAGCGTCCCGAACGGGGAAGCAACCGGGACGGACGTCGTCCAAACCAATCCAGTCACCCCTCGCCAATCGGGTGCCGATTTTTGGGGGCCTTAAAGGGACTCGCAAGGCATGAAGCTGTGAATTTCCTGGCAATCGATTACGACAGTTGATGCCGCCAACAAAATGCCGAAAAACAGATTTTCTAATTTTTTTGCTGGGACAAACAATCCGCTCTCCGGCATTTCATGCCGTAATCGTTTACGCCAGCTTTAGACAGGCCAAGCGATACGCGTGCGTTGCGTGTCGCGCTGCGGCAGCGACCATAAAAATTACAAAACTTTATTTTTTACGTGTAACGTTTCAGCCTTTTTAAAGGACGTTCAAAGGCAAAAAAAGCAAGGATTTATTTCCACAAAAATGAAAAAATGTTTCCAAAACCCAAAAATATTTTCAAACTACCGTATTCGATTTGATTCTGATTTTTTAGCGAAATATAGATCGATAAAAATTGTACTGTTGAAATTGGGGTGGGTGGATAGAGGCGATAACTGGGTCGACGGGTATTATTGAGAAACGAGGGATTATGGAAGAGATAGAGAGACGAGAGAAGAGAGAGAGAGAGAGAGAGAGACAGATAAACCCTAGAACCTGCGCCCCAAAAACCGGTTTAAAGGGACGGCGACACGAGTCGCGATATTTGGAGCCATTTACTCAAATTCAAGCCTTCCAAAACCTATTTCCGGTCCATTTTTGTCTGTCTGTTTGTCAATTCGTCTGTTTATCGGGTTTTCTGTCTGTCTGTCTGCCAAGCAATCGATTTCGGGCAAAAAAAATCCGTTTTTTTTTGGTTTTACATGATTCGCGTTCTGCCTGTCGATTTTTCTGCTGCTCTCGCTCTCTCTCCATCTTTATTCGCTCTCTCTCTTTGTCCCGCCGCCATCTATCTCTGCCCCAAAATGACATCTCTGGGCACGGGGGCCCCCGAGAAATATTCCATAATCCGAAGGACACCATCCGACAGCCCGGCCGGAAGGATTGACAGAGGAAGGAAACTGGAATACACTGTTTTTTTTTGCATTTTCATGAATTTTTTTTGGGAAACTGGCAGCCAGTTAATCGAAACTTTGCATCAATCCGCAATCTGTCTGGCAGGGAACCGATTACGACATGAAAATCGCTTCAAAAAGCTTACAATAAAATATGATCCCATCCGACTTGATATCGTCTGCGGGGGAATTTGGCGGTTAGGGCATGGAAATAGGTATCGATTACCCACTGGAAAATCGATTGATAGTTTGATATTTCTCTATCCCTCTCTCTCTCGCTCTCTCTCTCTTTCTCTCTCGCTCTCTCTCTCTGTCTCTCTACCTGTACATCACCCGATGCCACTAATCCGATCATTTCCTTCGTCACTTCGCTAGCTATAAAGATACTTTTTCAATTTTTTCGACGCCGCGAAGCGACACGCAGCGCGCACGCCCAGCTTTCCATTGTGTAATCGGTCACCATCCTACCTCTATCGAAGAATTCCCTCCCATAAGCCTGTTTGACGTCCTCACGACATCCGTCCCACACCTGAATACGAATTTCAAACGGGAAAGGGATTCCCTAGAGATCTCTGCTAGCCTGCCTAGCGAAAAATGGCCATCTGGCAGCCCGTTTACCGATTTCCGGTGCCAAGGTTTTCCATAAATGGTCTATGCTAAGTTACCTATCGGAAAATGCCTATCTGGCAGCCAATCAACCGAGTTCCGGCCTCAACATTTTCCACAAAAGATCTCTGCTAGCCAGCCCGGTAAGTTTTTTGCCCAACTGTCAGCTAGGCTATCGATTAGGTCAAAAATTTTTCATAAGTGAACTTTGCTAGCCTTCCCAATGCCGAAACCCTTATCTGCCGGCCAGCTGAGCCTATGGTCATATAAAAATTTTCCCAAATGAGCTTTGCTAGCCAATCCAGCGCAAAAAGTCGAACTGGCAGCCAGTCTACGTAATCCCTTTCGAAAAATTCCCCCAATGCCCTCTGCCAGCTTGCCTTATGCATTTGTTGATCGAGCGCCTCTTCAGATATCAATGGTGTTTTGAAGAAGCCGGGTTCAATGACGTGCACTGAGATTCCCCAGATACGGAGTTCTTGGCTGAAAAAATCAATCGATAATGCCTTTTAAAGGCCCCCGAAAGTCAAGGGCTTTGTGGAGAACCGCGTGCGTAATCGATTACGACATGGTAAAATATGCCTTGCTGGCTCCTTTAAATAGCATAGCTTACCGTATACAATCACTATAGGCAGAAACTCCATGTTTCGAGACAGTATATGGTCCAATCCCCGGCAGACCCAATCTGGCACACATCGATGCCATATTCACGATTCGACCCCTAAAAATGTGAATTTTTCGTAATTTTGTTGATAAAAACGACAAAAATGGGTTTCTAAAGCGTAATTGGAGCCCAGATAATCGATTACGCCATTGAATTACCACGCGAAATTTCAGCGCTCGAAATTCATAGCGTAATCGATTGTCTTTTTTGGAATTTGTATAAGAAAACCACTGAAAATTGTCGATTTTCATGGCGTAATCGAATCAGAATGAGCATGAATCGGTTACGCGCTAAAATTCAGCCCCGATTTCGATGGCGTAATCGATTTTCATGGCGTAACTGGATGGAACTGCACCGATTACGCGATGAAACCTCAGAAATTTCTGAGAATTTTCATTGTGTGGTAGAAAAACCTAAATAAATGGCGTAATCGCTTAGCCGCTCATTTTCATCGCGTAATCGATTCGAATTTTAACGGATGCTCACTTTGTTTTTCTGAGCTGCGGGACGAAGGCCTTCGTCACGCGCACAACACCGAACAAATTCACCTGAAACATTTTGTAGCAATTAAAAGCTGGATTTATGCACAAATTTTACATTTTAATTTTAGTTTTATTTCAGTGTTGCGTCAGAAATTAAAACCAAAATTTTAGAAAAATTAAAAACGCGATTTTGGACCGTTTTAAATTCATTTTATTTAACCAACCTCAAGCGTTTCGCGATAATCGTCAATCGTTAGAAAATCATCGTAAAATGAATGGCCGACGATTCCCGCATTATTCACGATGCCGTATAGACCTGGAATTTCATTGCGTAATTGGATTGCCTAGCTTCGAATTTCGTGACGTAATCGGATAGAAAGGCCGGAATTTCGTAGCATAATCAAATCAAGATTTTAATGATTTTTCGTGGCGTAAGTGGATAGAAACGCTCGATATTTCCTAGCGTAATCAAATAGGCTTTTTCATGGCGTAATCGGATAACCCAGCTTCGGAATTTCATATCGTAATCAAATGCCGCTTACCGCCGTGTTTTTCTGCATTTTTAGCGACATATTCGACAGCTTTTTCGACGCTGTCCCCATTTGTCACATCGAGAAGAAATGCCGACAATAGGCCACGCCCCCTTTCACCACCGCCAATTTCTCGCTGGAGACGGCGGATACCCTGGAAAATAGCGCTGGATTAGATGTCGTAAGCGGAAGATTTTTCGCGATTTTTATGATTTTACGCGACGCAACACGCGACCCGCACGCTTCTAGGTTGTTTAAAATGTCGTAATCGATTGCGCAATGAAAGGGCGCCTTTCGGAAAAATTACCAGCCTTGTCGGTCCCTTTAAACCCCTACCTCCTCGGTTCGACACCCTGCAAATACCGGCATCCCATTTGCCACACATTTCACTGCAAGCCCATACCCAAAACCTGCAATTTTTGGTACTTTTGCATTATCGGGGGGTGGGGGGGTGGCAATTTTCCATGTAAATCTGGATGTTTGACTATGAAAACCGTACCAGAATCACAGCCCGTGATGAGAACAGGACGATGAGGAAGATCATCGACGACGAGACGCTCCCATTGACGGCGGAGAAGGTAGAAAAGAAGCAGAAATGAAAGGGGATACAGTAACCACCAGAAAATACACCACATTTCTGAAAAAAAACCTAAAAAGAATTTTTACACACAAAATAGACTAAAGAGTATTTTTAGGGCATAATCGGGTCGAACTTGCACAAACAACCCCTGCTAGCCTGCCCATTGGCTAAACTGGCGGGCAGTCAAGAAAATTAGCATTCCTAAATGGTCTCTGCTAGCCAGCTCGTCTCATAACGAACGAAAATTACGCATTAAGTGATGTGATATTTCAGGAAAGGGGGAAGAGTATTATTTACTTCTTGGGGGGTGGAACCACTTGAGAAATGGAGAGAGAGAGAGAGAGAGAGAGAGAGAGAGAGAGAGACAGAGAGAGACAGAGCGCTTCCCTACGGCTCAATTTGCATAATCTACTCTCCACCTTGCCCCTCGACATAGCAGAGATTATTGGGGATTGACCCCGGGCCGATTTACGCGGCGAAATCCCAAAGGATCTCTGCTAGCTGACCGCAAATCAGAAATCTGAAAAGCATATTTCATAGACTGACAGCCAGTTGACCGAGTAGCTGGTTGCTAATTCCCCAAAAATCGCTGCTAGCCTGCCTGGAGTCTCGGAAAGCGCCAAAAATGAGAAAATTTTTCAAAAAATCGCGAAAAATGGAGGATCGTTGTAGCTTTTAGCACATTTGAAGAAGATTATGGTCTACAATATATAGACTGTCATCCAGCGCACCCATTCACGCCTTGCCAATTCCCCAAAAATCGCTGCTAGCCGGCCTACCCCCTAGCAATCTTAAATGTCGGAATCCTGCAAAAACTCCTAAAAATCCTAATTTTTGATGCGTTTTTTTGAATATGGAGGACCCGAAAAATTCAGGAAATGAATGCTAGTATATTTTGCCCCGTTCGGAGGGCTTTTCGTTGGTTGTTGTGTGTGGCCATTCCATTGATAAGGGATTCTGACCAACTAGCTAGTGGTGTAGTCGTGTAGTCTGTAGTCCAGTGTAGCCATTTAACCTCACAAAATGAGGGCAAAGAATAAATTCGTGTCTGGGAAATTATATAGCGTAATTGGTTCCAGTTTTGGAGCGATAAATCTTCATTTATTTTGCATTCCCAAAAATTTTCTGTGCAGGACTGTAGTCTGTAGTCCAGTGTAGTCGTCAAATTTAAGAAAATTCGCGTTACGACATACTAAATCCGGTCTGGGAAATTATATAGCGTCATTAATCCCAGGTTTCCAAATTCATTTTTAGTTGTTTTTAACTTTTTTGTAGTTCTAAATTTTTCACCTGTTCTTAGATTTTTCCATTTTTTACGTTTTCTTAAATTTTTCCTGCCAATTGACTGTATTTCTTTTCGTTTTTTCACGTTGTATAGCATATACCAAAATATTTATTTCATCACCAAAAAAACTTATAAATTAATTCTGAAGACGAGATATAGGCATTTAAAGGGATTGGCAAGGCTTAATAAAACCTTTCTGGTAGCCAGTTCGGCGATTTTTGCCTTCAACGGGCCTTTAAAAGTCGATTTAGAGTTTGTAGTCTCTACCAGGGGGAAGGGCTGAGCATTTGAGAGGAGGAGGAAAAGAGGCTGTGGGATACTGTAGGCGGTACTGTAACTCGGGAAAAATACGTTTTACGACCAGAATTCGGGGGTAGACTACAAAGTACAAATTGCCAAATACAAAATATAAAGCCTGAGATCGGGGCGGCGGCAAAACAGTGGGTCTAAAAACGAGAAAATCTGGGCAGGGCGAGAGAGTGGGCAAAAAACAGGAGAGCGCAGAGAAATTGGAGATTTTTAAAGGGACCGGCAAGACATCGCTATGGATTTTCTATTGATTGCCGCGCGGCGACACGCGATACGCCAGCTTTTACCTAGCGTAATCGATTACACCACCATTCTGGGGGCTGCGCGCTGCCTGTCGCGGTCGACTGGATGCCAGAATCGCTAAAAATCGCCGAGGCAAGCTAGCAGAGGCACTTTCTGGAAAGTTGGCCAGCCAAAAATCTAGGCTGCCTGACAGCAAAACTAAATTTGGCCGCGACACGCGACGCGAACGCCGAGGTTCGTTTTCCTAATCGATTGCGACACCTTTATAGCTGCTAGGCAGACTAGCAGAGGCACTGTGTGGAAAGTTTGCCAGACCTTTGCTGTCTGGCAGTATAGCGAAATTTGGCCGCGCGACGCAATGCGCGTGCCCGTTTTCCATCCCGTAGTCGATTACAGCATCTTAAAAGTGACCGTGCGGGACCGCTGCGTTGCGTGTAGCGCCGCGGAAAAGCTATCGAGGATTCCCAAGCCAAAAATCGTTAAAAAATGCCTTGTCGGTCCCTTTAAGCCAGAAATCGAGGTGTAAAGAGGAGCGCAACGTAGGGTAATCGGTACTTTACTGTTAGCGGGGGGAGCAGTTAGCGTAAAAGAAAGCTAATTTTGTCGATTGTTAGGCAGTTAACCGAAAAATTGTCAAAAAATGTTGAAAATTATGATTTTTACATATTTTTTACAAAAGCCAAAAAAAAATTTAGAAGATTTGTTGTGCTTTTCAAGTCTAAAAATCGCAGAAAAACCCTATAAAAATGTACCCCCACTAACAGACCAGTACCCCGTTAGATACGAGAATTATCGTAATGCCTCCTCTCAATTTCCCTATCTTCTCTTCTTTGTAGCATACTCCCAAATAGACCCATATATTTCCCCTTTCCCTTTCCATGAGTATTATTATTATTATTGTGTCCATTTCTGGGTCCAGATAGAGTAGATGAAGTATTTGTTGATGGTTCTGGGACGGCTGTCGCGGCACCATACGTTCTAAAATTATGGCGAGCTAGCAGGGATCGTTGGGGAAATTTCTTACATCGGAATTTTGAGACTGGCAGACAGGTAACCGATTACGCCAGTAAAAACTGGCCGAGGTTGTTTGGGAATATTGTTACCTAGCGTAATCGATTGACGGGCCGACAGCTAACCGATTACGCCATAAAATTCGCGTATTGGTCATTTAGGTATTTTTTTGGAAGGGCTTAATCGATTGACGGGCAGACAGCCAACTGATTCCCCTGCAAAAGCTAGCAGACAACCTTTGAGGAAATATTTTTGCCGGCTCAATCAACGAACTGACAGACAGCTAACCGATTACGCAACAAAATACCAGCAGTGGCCATTTGGGAATATTTTTATTAGCTTAATCGATAGACTGGCAGACAGCTAATCGATTACGCCATGAAAGACCAGTAATGACCATTTGGGATTTTTTTAGCGGCATAATCGAAGGACTGACAGACAGCTAACCGATTACGCAACAAAATACCAGCAGTAGCCATTTGGGAATATTTTTATCTAACGTAGTTGATCAACTGACAGAGCTAACCACTTATGCCATAAAATTTGCGTATTGGTCTTTTCGGAAAATTTTTATTAGCTTAACCGGTAAACTGACAGACAGCTAGCCAATTACGCCACAGAAAGCCGGCAAAAAGCATTAAAAAAATTTTATTCGGCTGATTCGATGGACTGGCAGACAGCTAATCGTTTTCGCCACAGAAAACCAGCAGAAACCATTTGGGAAAATTTCCATAGGGTGATTCGGCGGACTGACAGACAGTTAACCACTTACGCCATGAAATTCGCGTCTGGGCTAGTTGGAACTATTTTTTTTAGCTTAACTGATATAGACAGTAAGTGATTACGCCATGAAAATTCCAAAAATTCTTACCGAGGCGGTGAGGGTACCCGTTCGACATTATGAAACGAATAATGCGGATTATTGAGATGCCATAGAGTGTGGGCAGGGGATGTAGATGAACAACAGGCTGACGAAGACGGCGAATGACCACCTATACACATCCGATTACGCCATGAAATAGGTGCTTTACCTGGGCATTTGTGGGTGATATTTGGAGAATGGGGGGAGAGGCATCTAAAAATCGAAAATCAAGATAATTTATTACGCTACAGTACACTACCGTACGCTACAGTACACAGTACGAGAAAATACGGATAGAGTACGATAGAAGGGGCATGCAATAGAGTTAGAATTATTAGTTGACATGCAATCTACTCGATTTTACGTCGAAAAATCCCGAAAAACACACCCGAACTCTCAGTTTTCAACGGTTTCCGCTTGATTGCCGGCCAGCTCAGGGATTTGTAAAGTTGGAAATGTTAGAAATCGCTAGACTGCCAGGAAATGGGCCCGGGTTCGGTTCCTTCAGGCGTCAAAATCTTTTGCTTTTGCTTTTTGAGCGGAAACTGAGAGTTTGAGGTATTTTTCGGGAGTGATCTCGACATGGTCATGCTCCTCGACGGGCTCATGCTCGCTTACCAGTCTTCTGATAGATATTGGCCTATTGGCCTTGGATTATTCGCAGGCTGAAATGGGCGTTAGGTTTTTGGATTTTTCGATTCTTTTAAATGGGCTTTTTAGTTTTAAAAATCTCAAGAATCAAATTTTTTTTTCGCCTCTCTTTTTGCGCCTCTATATTTTACTCTCTTCCCCAAAAAATACGTTTAAAACAATTACAATTCATTAATGCGTAAAATGCCATCCAACTTTCCGGATTTTTAACCTGATTTCCGGTGGTTTCGACGGTGCAAGCTAGCAGAGATCATTTGCTATGCCAGATCCTATTGGCTGGATGCCAGTTTAGCCAATCGGCGGGCTAGCAGAGATTTTTTGGGAATTTTGAACTGATTACGCGGTAAAATGCCCGGGTTTTTCAAAAATTTGTCAATTTCACCTAATTTCCGGTAGATTGGATCGGGCAAACTAGCAGAGATCATTTGCTAGCCCAAATTGCATTGACTGGGTGCCAGTTCGGGTAACGGGCGGGCTAGCAGAGATTTTTGGGGAATTTTGAGAAGGTTACGTGAAAAAAGCGCGAAAATTCGATTTTTTTCGATTTTTCCGCTGTCTCTCGCTCTTTCTGTCTCTCTCTCCGTCCCCCGATACCTATTATAAGTTGAGATGTGAGCCTGAGTGTGATGGTGGTGCTGTCCTTCTGATCGATGGCGTCCTTCTCCACATTGTCGATTCCCGAGAGGCCCGCATCTACAATAATAGAACAACTCAATCCATTACGCCATCCAATTCCAAATATGGCCCAACAACTCCAAAAACCCCCGAAACTCAATCCGCCACACGCCAGCTCACACGCCAAAACAACTTAGAAAAACGAATTTTGTCGCCAGAATATCATGTCGTAACGCAATCCCTTTCTCGATACCTTTGGCACAGCGAATCCTCGCATCTGCGAAAATCGAGGTTTTTTATGGTTTTAAAATTATTTTGATAAGATTTTCTCGCAAACTGGCAGGCGGAAAATACCAATCTAAAAAAAATTAGCTTACAGTCTTACGAAATTTTTAATAAACGTTTTTAGGCCGATTTTGACTTGAGAAAATTTGATAAATCGCCTTTAAAAGTTAAATACGATATTTAAACTAATTTTAAAAGTATTTTCTAGCGAACTGCCTGGCAGAAAATATAACTCCGAAAAATTTGAGAAAAATACCGTATCAAAAAAATTAGAAAAGCCGTTTTTAGCCAGCTTTTGATTGAAAAAATGAAAAAATGCGTCTTAGTGAAATACAGTTTTACAAGAGCTTTTTAACGCAATTTTCCGATAAACTGTCTGCCAGCTAGGCTAATTCCCTAAAAAACAGATCATAACTACCGTACCTCGCCGTCAACCACAGCTCGTGGCATCGACCCGCCTCGGAACTCAATCTCGTACTGAAAATGGGTAAATTAAACATGAGATTCCCATAAATTTGCATCAAAATCGACTGACTGTCAACCACTGAGCAATTTGACACGAAAATTTGGGACCGGGCGGGGGTCTCGGGTGGATTTAGGGGTCGCTGGGGGGTACGATGGATGGGGATGGTGTAGGGGGAAGGGCGGGAGTCTAGGCCCGATAACTTCCGGTCGGAGTATCGGATCCGAATAATTTTTGCAGCATTAGAAAGAACTTGAAAAGACGAACAAATTGATATGTGTAAACTTTACAAATTTATGTGCCCAAATATTTTTAATTTTGAAAACCCTTTTTTACCTAAACAACAAGTTTTGTAAAACATTTTTTTATAAAAATAGAAGACCTAAAACATCAGTATGTTCAGTTTTGCAAGTGCTTTTCAATGGTGTACCAAGCATTCCCATCCGATACTCCTACCGGAAGTTAGAGCCCATATACTGTAAGGGGCACCCTATAGGGACGGGGTTAGGGCTACGGTAGAGGGGTGTGGTGTGGGGGGCTGTGGTTACGGTGGAAATGTGTCAACTGGATGTCAGATTGACCGTGACCATCCTCATTTCAGCGCTGCGCCACTCGATTACTGTACAATATTCACGATTCACGGTATCGGGGAGACTTGGGGCGGGGGATCTTTTCTGTTTTCAGGGGGGTCGTGGCGGGTTGATATAATTTGCATTTTGTTAAACTCACGTGGGGCCCTCATCGGCAAACTGTAACTGGGTAAAATACCGGAATTTTCGGGGTTACGGTAGCAATCTTTCGATTTATCGGATTTTTCGTCCATTTTCGGGTTACGGTAGCGATTTTTGTCATTTTTAACTCATATCAAAAATGTATAATAATTTGTCTAGCTGATCTGACAGGCAGGTTATAGATTGCTATAAAAATTTGAAGCGTTTTTTCGTTATATAAAAATCTGGAAAAATGAAAATATATAATTTTTGAAAAATTGCATTTTCGCAAATATCGACTTTTTTTGTTCAATTATGAGACGAATAAAATACCTTTGTGGCACAGACAAAAGAGGCGGTGACCAGCTTGGCGATCTCGTTCATCAAATTTTTCGTTTCTTGAATCACAGAATCCACCTGAAAATGGCAAAAAAATCGAAATTTTTTGGAAATTTTGGACAATATTTTGTGTGGTGGACGGACAGACGGACAGGTTGGCTGGCAGACAGGGAAACAGACAGATGAATAAACTGCCTGGCAGACAGACCGATAAACAATGATTCAACGGAAAAAAATGTTGGCTACCTTTCCAAAAGTGGCCGTCTTCCCAACGGTCGGACTCTTCACAAGCACCTGAAAAAAATCGATCGATAATCCGGGGTTTTTAGAGATTGGATATTTTTGGGATCTTTCCGCAACGCGACACGCAACGCGACACGCAACGCGTCGGCTTAGCAAGGCCGAGACAAACATGTCGTAATCGATTACGCAACGGAAATCCAGGTGCGAGCGTTGCGTGTCGCGTCGCGTGTCGCGTCGCGTTTGGGCTATTGGCTTCCTGTAAATTTCTCCGCGACACGCAACGCAGAAGCTACGCTTAGCTGCTATTAACATGTCGTAATCGGTTACGCAACGGAAGTCCAGGCGTGCGCGTCGCGTGTCGCGTCAGATGAGAGGGAAAAGCTGGGGAAAAGCTAGCTTACCTGTAATTGTTGACAATGGACGGGGATCTTTTCGAGAATTGATGACAGTTCACTCTTTTCTGCACTGCCGGGCACCTAAAAAATGACAGTACGTTTTCCCCAAAAATCGCTGCTAGCTCGCCAGGGCTAAAAAAAATCAAAATGACTCGTAGCAGAGACCATTAGGAAACTTGGGATCTGGTTCATTAGCGGGGGGCGACGTTCGTCTAGCGCTCCCCCCGCTAACAGAACAGAACCGGAAAATGCCACTCGACGGCAAACTAGCGGTGTTTATTTGGGAACAATTCGTAAAAAAAATCTCAAACAGGGCAAACTAGCAGAGATTCTTTGGGAAGGGCAGGCTAGCAGAGGTTATTTAGGAAATCCCCCACCGGCAAGCTAGCAGTGTTTTTTTGAGATATTTGACTCAAAATGAGGGCAAACTAGCAGAGATTCTTTGAGAAATTGCACACTTACCTCATAGCTGAATTCCCTGACAGTTTTGTACATTTTATTGGCTTGTTCGGCAAAGAATTCAGCTTGTGTGAAAAGATCATGAGTTGTACGGAGAGGGCCATCACCACGAGTGAATAAATACATATTGTATGCCATGGAAGACATCGCCTGCAACAAACATTCGATTATTTCGGTACTTGTGCATTATCGGGGGGGATTTTTATTAGGATAAAATCCTTTTAATATAGAAAGGAAAGTGTTTCTAGACGTTTTTTTAGCATTTTTAAACGCGAAAACTTTGCAGATTTTTGTTAAAAAACGCAGAAAATATCGATTTTTGGACAAAATTTGCGATTTTCGAAAATTCTAATTTTTTTTGAAGTTTTGTTAGATAATTTTCTATCGCGGATTCGATTATTTGGCTTACAATTTAGCCCATCGGCTAGCTGGCAGAGAATTTTTGGGCTGTTTTGACCGGTTACGCTATGAAAAATCGAGAATTTTGCTCGATCTCTCTCTTTCTCTCTCTCTCTCTCCCGCGTACCTTGGCCCTCTTAACAATATCATTCTCGGCATATTCATCCCATTTCTCGGCTTCAGCATCCACTTCCGATGTCAACAACTTCATCTCCAGCCCCACTTTCGCCATCTTTTGCTGATCCTGAAAGGGAAAGGGGGTTACGGTAAGGATCTCAACTTCTGGGCTGCATCCCAGTTTAGCGAAATTGACATGAAAATTTGATTTTTCTGGTTTCTCTCTTACTCCACACTCTCTTTTTCTCACCTCGACATCGAGCGTAATCGGTTTCGACGGTTTCGTCGTCGTCCCGTGTTTCTAAATTAATATTTCATTAATTTGAGCAAAATTTTAACATTTCCACTGTATTTTAAAACGATTTCTGCATTTTTAAAAGCCTTGGGTAGTTTTCAAAAAATTAAAATTTTCAACTTTTGAGGTTTTATGGGTGTACTGTAAATCACATGACGTTATTTAATTTTTTAAATTTTTGTTAGGGTTGCCTGGCATGCAGTCCACAAAACAATAAAGTAATATTAAAATTTGTCGCTAAAATTAAATTTTTTAGAATTTTTTGAACATTTTTGAAAATTTCGAGGATTCTTGATTTTTGAACACGCAATTTTTAACCAAATTTGAATTTTCCGAGAATATCCTTGATCATAGGTCTTAGCTGCAATACAAACCACGCAAAAACCCTTCAAAAATTTGAAACTAACTCGAAAATTAATTTTTTATAATTTTTTAAAAATTCGAAAATTCGGGGTTTTGAAAAAACCATATTCTCTCTAAATTTGAATCTGAACTCATTTTTGCGGCTTAAAACCTCTAAACTGGCATGCAGACAACACGACAGCAAAAAGTTCACGACTTTATTTCCACGACACAACACGATACGGTTACGATATGTAAATGGGAAGGGGGAAGGGATTATCGATTGATTTTCAAGGGGATATGGCAAGCCAGGCAAAAAACACAGCCACACAACCAATATTCAAAAGAAAATAGGGATAGGTCAAAAATAAATAAAATAGATAAATATGGTTAAAAACAGAAAAATTCATGCCAGGGTTACGGTAAGGGAAAAATGGATTTTATTTATTTTGACGTGTCCCTGTCCCTTTAAAATCTTTAAAAAGCGAGTCTTGATTTTCGTGGCCAAATGGATTACGACGCATGATTTAGCACGCCAATTTCCTCGTTTTTGCCGATTTTAAAGGAACGCTGAAGGCAAAGCCCAAAAGCCAAAGTTCATCCTTGATTTTGGTTCACGGGTCCTTTAAAATCGTACTGTAGCTTTACTGTCTGGCAGTTTATGGCTATCAAAAGTTGCAGAGAAAAATATAGTTTTTGAAGGGTTTAAAGGGACAGTGACAGCCCAAAAATTCAAGTGTCACCATCCCTTTAGACCGGAAAACCCCCCGTTAAATTTTGGTATGTATCAAATGGTCGATAACAAGACTGAGACGACGTTCAAAGCATGCAGTGGCCTCTTGGATCGGGTGGATTATCGATTGATCGGCATGGGAGAGAATAATTGGAGGGGAAGAAGAAGCGGAAGTAGCGGAAGAAGACGTGCAATTAGAAGCGGACGAGGCCGCGGAAAGAGACGACGACTCGAACACTGTCTCAACTGTCTGACTCTCGAATGATCCCGCTTCTTTTGCGGGGGTTTCCGTGGGAGTTTGCGAATTGAGCCTGACCCCTGGTCGTGGGAGTGACATGTAGGCCTGGCGCTCGGCCGCGACGCGACCGCTCGCCGCCGAATCGGCTTCTTTTGATAGGCGAGAGAGATCGTTGACTGTCTGGCCCCATGTATCGCAGAATACCTACACGAAATGGGGGGTCTAATCGATTACGGCATGAAAAACCTCGAGATTTTCGCGGGCGATCCGACTGGATGGATGGAGACACAGGGTACGGCCGGCTAGTAGACACTAAAAGCGATTGTTAGATGGATTTATTGGCGTCCAGTTGGGCCAGGTTGGACTTTTAAAAAAAAATCGATATTCTTAATATTTAATTTTATAATAACGAAATTCGAAAAATGCCGAAATTTGATAGGTAAAAATTTCAAAATGCCGAAAATTTCTGGCGAATTTTTGTATTGTCCATAATTTCGAAATAATTGTCGGATTTTTATAATATCGACCTTTGTACGAATTACGAATTCTACGAATTTCATAATTTCGACACTTATTAATACCGTCATTTTCGCTATTCGAAATGCCATAATTTCAAATTTTTTTAGGAATAAATTACGATATGAAAATCCATCGTTATTAATTTGTGATTTCCGAAAATTGTTGTTTTCTAAAATTATATTCCGCAATGTCGATATTAGCAAATTTTGAAATACGTAAATTCGGCATTTTTACAGGCCACGCCCCCCTTTCATGAAGCCCCGCCCCGTTTGTGACTTACAAGTGGTGCGAGTGCCCTCATATTTCTCTCGCAATGGCCCGTATTCACGTGGAGGGCGTCAGTTAGGGAGATGTGATGGAGCAGGCGGCACACCTGAAATCAACTATAATAATTTTGCTGTGGTCTCCGTCTGTCCGTCCGTGTGAAGCCGAATTCAACTCGAAGGGGAAAGGAGCTAGAGCTTAGCTCTCTTCGGATTCGGATAGAGCGTGGTCAGAAACCCCCAAACTGATCAAAAAATTATGGAAAAGTCTTCGCTTAAACTATTAAATTTAACTTTGAAAGTTTCTTTCTTAGTAAAAGGGGTGGGGACGGAGGTTGGGGTAATTTTGGACACAGTGAGCGAGGTCGCGCGCGTTTCGGCGAAGGGGGGGAGCGCCCAAGGAGTAGCCCGAAGTCCAGCCGCTTGCAGCGGCGAAGCCGCTGGAAGCGGCTGGTGGAATTATAGCGCGTAATCGGTTACCCTTAAAAAGGAGGCAATAATCCGATTATGCCACGAAATCAGTTTTTTCATTTCGTAATCGATTAAACCTCAAGAACTGCTGTCAGTTAATCGGTTACGCCATTAAAACCGGACAGGGCTAATCGATTACGCGGTTAAAAGCGATTTTCACTGCGTAATTGTTTGGATTTTCGGAAATTTCTACACTTAATCGATTACGGTAGAAAAACCAGTTTTTATCTAATTTGATTACGTTAGAAAACTTGTATTTCCATAGCGTAATCGATTAAAATTTAAAGAAATCAGGGCTTTTGATCGCTTACGACATAAAACTAGGCCTTTGGTTAATCAATTACGCCATGGAATCACTATTATTCAGCGGCTGTCAGCCATTTCCTGGCGTAATCGTTTAAACTGGCATAAATGAACGCAGAAGGTGGAAAAATTCCTAAATGATCTATGCTAGCTGTCACCGCCCCGTTAAAACCCAAAACTCTATACTTACTTCTTGCATATGTTCTGCGTGTTCTCGGAATTTGTCCATAAACTTTTCCACGCCATCAATATCACCGGAAACGGCACACGCCTGGAAATTACGGGATTGGCTCGATCTCATTCTCCAACTCGTGCTCAACCGCCACATACCTTAATCGAGGAGAGCAAGACTTGATCTTCGTTCGCTCGGAAAACTTCTGCTACCTGAAATGGAGCGTTTTCTCTCTCTCTCTCTCTCTCTCTCTCTCTCTCTCTCTCTCTCTCTCTCTCTCTCTTTCCACCTCTCTCTCTCTCTGTCTGTCTCTCTCTCCCTTTTTCTCTGTCTCTCTCTCCCCTCTCTCTCTCTCGCTCTCTGTCTCTCTCTGTCTCTCTTCTCTACCTGATCCATGGCCACAATCTGCAGTTGTTTCGATAGATCTCGTAATCTGCGGCTCAACCTCTCTACCGTCACCTCGAGGCCCTCATTTCGAAGTGGATCTCCGCCCATTACGTCCTGAAAATGGGTTAGTAAGATTTTCGAGGTGATGGGACTCTAAACTGGCAGCCAGTTGAGCGTTTGGCAACTTGCCACCCCCTAGGCCCCGCCCCTTTCTCTAACTGTCTCTCCTTTTCCCTCTTTTTCTCGCACTCTCTCTCTCCCTCTCTCTACCTCTCTCTCTCTCTCTCTCTTTCTACCTCTCGATCGGTCCCAATCTCTGGTTGTATCAGATTTGTCATCTCAAATCGGCATTCCTCCAAAAAGTCCAATATTTGTTCGCGATGATGATGTGGGGTATAGGCCGAGTCGGTGAAATCCTGAAATCATCGTCTGTCATTGTCTCTTTAAAACTAAAAATTTTTGAATCATTAGATACTGGCTAACTTCCACCCAGTTAGTCGATATGTGGGTATACAGTACCTGTGTCATTTCACAGAGAGCATCCAGTGCGGCCACTAGTCTCTCACGGACCCCAGCGCCGACACGACATGTCATTCGAACCATATCCAGCATTTCCTGAAAAAATGTCCTCAATAAACACTGCTAGCCTGCCCATTGGCTAGACTGGCTGGCAGCCCAAAAAAATTGGTAGTCCCAAATTGGATCTGCTAGTTTGCCAGGTCAAATGGATCGTTAAACGGATAAGAAATTGACAAATTGGATGGCAGATTAGGGATTTTCTTGGCGTAATCGGGTCCAAATGGCGCAAATCATCTCTGCTAGCCTGCCCATTGGCTAAACTGGCATCCAGCTAAGAAAAAATCGGGTTCCAAAATTGTCTCTGCTAGCTTACCGGGAGTCATAGAGCGTAAAATCAGTAAAAGTGAGGGCTTGTATGGAGTAAACGGTTCGAGATTCCCAAAAATCTCTGCTAGCCTGCCCATTGGCTAAACTGGCATCTAGCGAAAAAAATTCGGGTTCCCAAATTGTTTCTGCTAGCTTACCAGGATTTAAAGATTGTAAAATCGGCAAAAAGCGAGGGTTTTTTAAGGCGTAATCGGAACCAAATGGCACCAATAATCTCTGCTAGCCTACCCATCGGCTAAACTGGCAGCCAGTGAAAAGACAGCGAACCGGAGAGAGAGAGAGAGAGAGAGAGAGAGAGAGAGAGAGGGAGAAACAAACTTCAAAATCCCCCTACCGTCAATTGTTTGATAGCGGCATTAGCAGTCAATTGTATTCCGATATCGAGTGGTTCTTCCAGTATTCCCTGTGAATATCTATTCGTATCGAGTGGCAATACCCCATCACAAATACAGATTGCCATCAGTTGACACGCCAGTCGCATCTGGAATTACGTTGCGTAATCGGATATACGGGTGTCGCTGCCGCTTTAAAAGTCGTTGAAAATTATTACCTGCCAGAATGGTCTTTGGCCACTTGCGAAGGCGATTTTTACGAATTTATAATTGTCAGGCTCCCTTTAAAACAATTGGCTGGCCGATCGGACTTTTGAATTTTCAAACGCGAATTTTTTGTGGAAAAACTGTCACGATCTATTAAAAATGTTGAAATATATTAACTGCCTGGCAGTTCGAATTTTGGCAACATTCCAGGGTACAATTTCGACGTTTTCGAGGCGTTAAGAGGCGTTCGATGCCTTTAAACCGGCGATGGCAGATCGGACTTTTTCCTTTTCAAATCCGTTTTTGCGGCAAAAATTGGTCGCAGTCCCGTTAAAAGTTCTGGAATATGTTATCTGACAAACAGTTCGAAATTTGGCACCTTTTTAAAGGTATACTTTGCTCAATTCGTTGCACTCTGGGCGTACCTGTTGAAAGACGCCATCCCTGCATTGGAGGGCAGAATCAGAATCTGGATGTCTCAAAAGAGTCTTTGATGCTGTTAGAAGAAGCATCGTCATTCGCTCGAGGGATTGTCGACATACGGCCATCTGGGTACGCCGCTTTTCGCTCTGAAAAAAAAATCGCATTGTCGAATTTTTTTGGATTTTGGAAATATTACTCTCGTCAGCTAGCAGGACCATTTGGGGAAAATCTAAGGACACGAATCGCTAGACTGGATGGCAGATTGAAGAAATGCAAGCAGAAGCAGGCTAGCAGAGGCAACTTGCCGAATTTTGGACCCGGGAAACAAAAAGTATAAGGTAAAAGCGGAAAAATTGGCTTAAAAAAAGTCGCGATTTGGGCAGGCTAGCAAAGATCATTTGCGGAATCGATAGCCTGGTCGGTCGATAACAGAAATATTTAGAATGGCACGCTAGCAGAGAAAATTTACGGAATTTTTAACAGGAAACCGGGCTCAAAAAATTTTACGTCAGGCAGGCTAGCAAAGATCATTTGCGGAATTGATCGTCTGAATGCCAGATAAATGATTCAAGAAATGGGCAGGCTAGCAGCGACCATTTGAGGAAAGTTCCGGCCCAAAAATGACCGAAAAGACCGGTTTTCCGTTGCTAAGATTTAAAAAAAAAAAACCCAGTAGGGCAAGCTAGCAAAGGCCATTTGCGGAAACACTCGACTGACTGCCAGAAAAGGCATTCATGGCGGAAGTTGGTGGTATTCGGGATAAATACCTTGAGATCATGCTGTCTATCCCCGGATCGATGGGCCAAATCCACCATTTCGCCGCCGAATTCCGCAAAGATACGCACGAATTCCGTGAAATTTCGGGTGGATTCGAGGCGTGACAACGAGTATGCAACCTGAAATTAGGAATTTTAATACCGCCTAAAACTTTAATACGATACCAGAAAATTATTTTTGGAATAAATTGGCCAAATTTTATCTTTCAGTATTTTTCTTTATTTTTAAGGGAGGCAAGCTAGCAGAGAACTTTTGGGAAACGGGGATTTGTAGACTGGTAGTCAGTCTAAAAAATGGGCAGGCTAGCAGAGAGAATTGGGCCTTTACTTTCGGATACCATACCTTATCTTCGGCGCGAAGAATATGCTTGACAAGGACTCGATCGGCCAATAGAAGAACACGGGTGACAGAAGACAACAATTGACGACTCGCACGCACCAGCACTGCCTAAAACAGCTGTTTAAAAAAGGGGAGCTCGGCTAGGTGGACTACCTTATCGAGAACGGCGGTTTCTGGTAGATGTTCAGCCGTCACACAAGACAGATTCGCGATCGAAGCCCCTAAAATTGGTTTTAAAAGCTCCCGACAAGCCAAAAATCGACATTATTAGACGAGGCCGGTTCCTTGGCATTATCGGGGGTGACTACTTTTTTCTAGGATCCAACAAATTTTCGTGGCGTAATCGATTAGAGTACTGACCAGCCATCCTGGCCTCGTGACAAGCATCATACATTTCGGGCTGTATATCTGGATTCTCGTCGGCTATCGTCTCACCAACCGCAACAAATCTATAATTGGGTCGATATTTTGGCTGCTATAGCCCTCAAAAAGCCCCGAAATCCACCATGGTCTCTGCTAGCTTGCCCTCGAAAATTCATGGCGTAATCGGATGGAAAATTGCTCGAATAATCAATGCTAGCTTGCCATTGGAAAACCTCGAAAAAATCGCGAAATTCCACAGCGTAATTAGATCCAAAACCGCTCAAATAATCCCTGCTAGCTGGCCCATTCGCCAAAATGGCGTTCATCCGCGAAGTTTGAAATTCCTAAATGACCCCTGCTAGGCCGGGTACTGGTTTGTTAGCGGGTGGGGGTTTTACTTTATTTGTAGCATGTTTTGATAGTGTCAAAAGAACTAAAAACTGCGAAAATCTTCAAGCTCTGTGCCAAAACACCGACCTTTCGATGGCCGCCTCCACCGAGCTGCCAATCTTCAGTGCCGCCCTGATGGCTCGCTCGGATTTCGGCTTTCCCCCCGACAGCACCGACTCCTTGAAGTTCACCAGGGTCGTGATCTGCAACGAAATTCGCTATTTTGAAACCCTAGCAAACCTAAAATTTAAAAATTCAAAACCTGCGATTTTTACTTTCTTAAAAATTTCTTTTACCAGCCTGCGCGGCCCGGGTTCGACCCCCCGGCGCGGCGAAATTATTTGCTTTTTCGTCAGCGGCTGTAAAATGTTGCTGGCTGACCTGTGAGACGAGCGGCACGAGGGTGTGCTCGATGCTTTTCGTCTTAATCTCCAGATTTCGGGGGTCGAAGACGAGGGTGGTGGAGACGATGTTCTCTCCCGCTGACATTTCTACCATTATTTCCTATTATTGGCACCCTGAAACTGCGGATTCAATAGATAATAAAATTAGCTAATTAGACACGAAAAAGATCAAAAACTAAAATAATTTCTTAAAAAAAACGCGTGACAATTGGTCTATTTTTATGTTAACAAGATAGGAAAATGGATAAGATTTCGAATACAAGCTAATCCTTGAGGAAACGTGCGGGTGCTAGCAGAGAGTATTTGCGGAATGAGGAAAGCAGGTCAAACCTAGGCCAAGTAAAGATTAATGTTTTAAAAAATCGCGAAAATCCGCAACTTTCTGGCCGATTAAGTTATGGAAAGCCGAGCGTTTAGGGGCAGGCTAGCAGAGAGCATTTGCGGAATGGGGCAGCTGGTTAAAAATAGGCTAAAAACAAAGCTAATTTTCGAAAAATCGCGAAAATCGAGGAATTTTAATCGATTACGCCATGGATCCCAGAGTCTCTGGGCAGGCCCGTAGAGAACATTTGCGGAATGAGAAAATCAGCTGAATGGCTAAATGGCAAAAATAGGCTAAAATCAGGACGAAATTGAATCACGAAAAAATAAAAAATCTAAACTTATCGATTACGCCATGCAAATCCAAACGATTCTCGGGCAAGCTAGCAGAGAACAATTGCGGAATGGTCTCCCTGGACTCATCAACTCAAAAATGACATCAGCAACAGTCGGGAGGGAAGCCCTCGTTATGGTATTCTGGGGGAGAAACGTGGAAAATCTTCGCGTTTTTCGGGAGGGGAGACAAACGGAGGGTGAATTATTAAGACGAGAGAGAGAGAGAGACCGAGAGAGAGAGAGAGAGACAAGCCAACGGAAGACGCATGCATATTTGGACACGTGAAACAACTGGGGGCTAGCCAGACAGGTTGATCCCTAAAGGAGCTGGGAAGGCAAGAAAATTCTCAGGAATTTAACAATTTAAATGTAGCAAATTTAAGAATTAAAATTCATAGCAACTTTTAAAAACCAAATAGTAAATTTTAAAATTTAAAATTTAAAGCAAATTATTCAATTTCATGAATTGTAGATAATTTGAAAATTTAAATGTTCTAATTTCAAAAATTCGATGAAATTTCCACGTCCGCGACACGAGAAAAAGTCTCTGAATTTTGATGCGTAATCGATTAGAAATTCCTCAAAGGATGCCTGCTAGCCTACCCATTGTCTAAGCCGGCAGTCAGCCAAGAAATCAGGATTCCCAAAAGGCCCCTGCTATGCTGATAAGGAGAGAGAGCTAGACAAGAGAGTTACACCCTCCTCCTGCTGCTGCTCCCCATTTCTCATGCTCCTTTTCCCAACAAAACGACTGATGTCACCTGGGGGCATCTCTGGCTGATCCCCGATCACCCCAATATCTCTCTTTTTCACAGCCATCTATCGCTGACAGCATTGTTTATAGGACAGCCACACAAATGGGCCAGCTAGCAGCGACTATTTGCGGAAATTGGACCCTAAAAACCGCAACAATGAGCCAAAAAAAGCGCGAAACGGGTCATCTAGCCGAGATTCCTTGCGGAATCGCTCCCCTGGCAGATAGATAAATAAAAATCGACAATGACAAACTAGCAGCGATCATTTGGGGAAGTTTCGCCTTGGAAACTGCTAAAATTTGAGGATTTTCCCCCTCTTAAAATCAGCAGGCAAGCTACCAGAGATAATTGGAAAACGCTTTCCTGGACGATAGATAAATCAAACTCCACAATGGCAAACTAGCAGCGATGATTTGGGGAATGTTGCTAAAGAAAACCGAGCAAATCTGTGGCTTTTCAGCTCAAAAAAAAACTAAAAAAGCCAAGCTAGCGGAGACAATTGGAAATAGCTCGATTGGAGGACAGACAAATCAAAATCTACAATGGCAAACTAGCAGCGATGATTTGGGAAAGTTTAGCCTCGGGAAAGTGCTAAATTTTGAGGATTTTCCCCTCGAAAAATCGAAAAGGTAAGCTAGCAGAGACAATTGGAAATCGCTTGCCTGGATGATAAAGATAAAAAATAACAAAGGCAATCCAGCAGCGATCATTTGGGAAAGTTTCGCCTAGGAAAACTGCGTGAAATGCCGCTTTTCAACTCAAAAATCCAAAATTATCTCCAAAAAAATCGAAAAATTAGGGAGGCTAGGGCAGGCTAGCACACACAATTTGAGGAATTTCGCCATAAAAACCGGATCTAAATAAGATTCAGCTAGGGCAGAAGTTGCGAGGTTTTCGAAGCGAAAAATTGTAGAAAATATTGGCTGGCCGGCTGATAGAGGGAAGACAAGAAAATGGGCAAGAAGCAGTGATCCTTTGGGAAATTTCGCAGTAAAAATCTGGTCTAAAAGATGAATGGATGGCTAGGACAGGCTAGCAGAGGCCATTTGCGGATTTTGTCAAGCGAAAATCTATGGAAAACATTGGATGGCTGGCAGATAGACGGAAGATAGGAAGATGGGGAAGCTAGCAGTGATCCCTTAGCAAAGAGTTCCATTCGCTATGCCGAATTTTGCTATGCCGATTGACGGTGTGCCGATTTCCGCTATGCCGAATTTTCGCTATACCGAATTTTCACTATACCGAATTTTCACTATGCCGAATTTCGCTATGCCGAATTTTTGGTATACCGAATTTCCACCATGCCGATTTTCACGATACCCAATTTTCACCATGCCGAATCTTCGCCATACCAATTTTCATAAGCGGTATGTTCCGCATTTTTTTTACTATTTTTCCAAATATCATGGGCCTAAAAAGTTAGAGTTAGCCTAGAAATATCCAAAAACTCGGGCAGATCGTTGGTCCCATAGGCGCAGCAGATTTTTTGTTGCACCGCAAAGTCCCAGCCGATCTTAGTTATTAATATTAGTAGAGACTATTAGTAGTAGAGTAGCAAAAATTCGGCATAGCGAAATTCGGTATAGCGAAAATTCGGTATAGTGAAAATTCGGTATAGCGAAATTCGGCATAGCGAAAATTCGGCATAGTGAAAATTCGGCATAGTGAAAATTCGGCATAGCGAAATTCGGCATAGCGAAAATTCGGCATACCAATAATCGGCATACCGTAAATCGGCACAGCGAAAATCGGCACAGCAAGTATTTACCCTTAGCAAAATTATACCGTGAAAATCAGTTCTAAACGAGGTTCAACTAGGGCAGGCTAGCCGAGGCCATTTGCGGATTTCAAGCGGATTTCAATTCAAGCGAAAACAGAGATCAACGTTGGCTAACCGGCAGAAAGACGGAAGACAGGAAAACGGGCAGGCAGGCAGTGATCCTTTGGGAAATTTCGCAGTAAAAATCTGGTCTAAAAGATGTATAGATGGCTAGGACAGGCTAGCAGAGGCCATTTGCGGATTTTGTCAAGCGAAACTGTGGAAAATATTGCCTGGCTGGCAGCAGGACGGAACGCAGGAAAATGGACAAGCTAGCAGTGGTTCCTTAGCAAATTTTGCCGTGAAAATCAGTTCTAAACGAGGTTCAGCTAGGGCAGGCTAGCAGAGAAAATTTGGGTTCTTGAAGCGAAAAATTGTGAAAAACATTGGCTAACCGGCAGAGAGACGGAAGACAGGAAAACGGGCAGTCAAGCAGTGATCCTTTGGGAAATTTCGCAGTAAAATCGGGTCTAAAAGATGTATAAATGGCTAGGACAGGCTAGCAGAGGCCGTTTGAGGATTTTTTGGAAGCGAAAACTATGGGAAACATTGGCTGGCTGGCAGATGGACGGAACACAGCCAAAGCGGGCAAACCAGCAGTGATCGCGGCGGAAATTTTACCGTGGACATCGGGTCTAAAATAGATTCAGCTAGTGCAGGCTGGCAAAGATTATTTGGGGGAATTTTTGCCCGGAAAAGCGCTCAAATTTGCCGATATTCAGATCAAAATTCAACCAGGCGGCCTAGCAGAAAGCATTGACGGAATTTCGGCATGAAAATCTGGTCTAAAAGATGTCTAGTTCGGGCAGGCTAGCAAATATCATTTGCGGATTTGTCAAGCTAAAAACCCGATGAAGGCGGAAGACAGCTCAACGGGCAAGCTAGCAGTGACCACTTGGGGAAATTCCATCGAAATCCTGTCCTAAATTTAGCCAGGTTGAGCCCAAAAAAGTCCAACATGAGGGCCATCTATCAAAGATGATTTGTGGGATTTAAAGGGCAGCTAGCAGAGATGATTTGTCAGCCCGAGCCATAATTGATGTGTTGCCCTGGTGCGGCCATTTGGCCACTAATAGGACCACTCGAAAAATGAAAAACCAAAAGGCCAAAATCGCGGTGCAGGGGTTGAAAAATGGGATGCAGATGTGTGGAGCGCGAGAGCGGGAGAGAGAGAGAGATAGAGAGAGAGAGAGAGAGAGAGAGAGAGAGAGAAGCACAGAATCTACAAGGCCGTAAAGTGGGTCTAGCAAGAGCTGTAGTAAGCCTCTGCACACTCTGCGCACACACAGCCCTCCAGTCACACCTGGGGGACACTAGATGGGGGCAGGCTAGCAAAGAGCATTTGTGGAAAGCTAAATTTCTGAAAAACTACCAAAAATTCATAACAGTTAATAGATTACGCACAGATTCGCAAAAAAACGCCAGAATAAACGGGCAAATCTCGGGAATTGATGGCAAGCCCGCAGCGATCATTTGGGAAAACAGTAGAGCTCCTGAAAGGCTGATCAGAAAAGTTTCTAGATTCGAGAGATTCATTGAAAATAATAAAAACGTCAGGAAACTCTCAAAAATCCTTAGAATAAACGGGCAAAACCCGGGAATTTACTGCAGGCGAGCAGCGATCATTTGAGAAAATCCTAGAAATTAATAGCGGCCGATTAGCAAAGTTTCATCAAATTTTACCCGCAAAAACCAAGCAAAACCCGCGGCTTTTCCCCGCTGCCACCCCCAATTAACGCCCCCATTTCCATCGCGTAATTGGAAGAGAAGTGAGGGGAAATGGAGGGGGATAGCCGAAGAAAAGGAGAGATCTCATAGAGTATAACACAGGATTGAGGCTCAAAAATCGTGGAAGAGCCCGCAGGTATTGGGGGGCAGTATTTGAGGAAATAGGGGGAAGGAGGAAGAGGAGGAGGATAAGCCCTCAGGGGAAGGAGGAAGAGAGGCAAAAGGGGGAGAAAGAGAAGGGGATGCCTGGCTCGGCAATCGATTACCTACCCTTCTGCCTCTCTCTCGCTTTCCGGTCTCTCTCCTTCTCCTTTCTCTCGCTTCTCTATCGTTAGCACGGCTAGTCGTCCACGGCTTTGACCTGAGATGCCACTAACCGCCCCAAAAACCCACCCGCAAAGTGCAATAGTCCAATCCAAAACTCTGAAAGACAAAAAGCCAGACATCCACTGTATTTTCTGAAATAAACAAAACTAATCCAAAATTTTATCGATAACAATAACAGTAACAAATAAATGTCAACAACGTACGGCAAATTAGAGAATTTTTTGAGGGCATAATGTTAACGAGAGAACGCGCAAAACAACGAAACGACGGCGCGACGCAAACAACCAGATCGAGAGGGAGCGAGAGGGGGCAGTGTGTGTTTCCATTGTTTCTATTCTTCCTCCTCTTCCTCTTCTTCCACCTTCGATTTCTTCTTATCCTTCTTTTTCTTCTTCTTCTCCGATACATCTTCCATCTCGGCGTCCTCGTTCTCCTCCACAACTTCCACCTGAAAATGGGGGTATTAGAAGAGTAAAAAAAGTATATCTTTACAAATCTTAAATTTCAAAAGCCATTAACAAAGATCCAAGAAAATTTGCAAAACCCTGTTTTTAAAACAAAAAATTTATATAAAACTTCGCAAATCTAACAAATTTACCTTTGGCTTCTTCGCTGGCTTCTCATCCTCTTCTTCAAACTTCCGCTTCTGGTTCTTCGCCGTGTTGTCGGCCGACTCGTCGTACCCGTATGTTTCACTAAAAACCAATCGTTATAAAAAACACCAAAAAGAATTTATACCTCTTGAAATGATACTTCTCGTGCTTGTGCGCCGAGTTGCTGACGCGCTTGGGTCCCCGTTCCTGTTCGCTGCGTAGAACGCTCTCAAGAAGGGCACGGCTCTCGATACCTAAATTCAAGGATAAGAACGAAAACAAAAAAGCACGTACCGATTTCAGCGCCCTTCTGGTCGTCGGCCAGCGCGTCAATCCTGGAGGAAAGCGAGACCTTGCCAGCCAATTTTCTGGCCATCTAAACGAAAATTAATGGCCAAAAACTGTAATATACCTTTCCCTTGCACTTGGCCGGGGCCTGGGAGATGAGCTGTGCGTGGTAGAGGAGGCCGTACTTTGGCGTGTCCTTCTTCGTCTTCAGCGCGCGGAAGAGGGCCTTCTCGGCGCCGAGGATTTGTACTGTTGATGCCGGGTACTTGGCGAGGGAGACGAGCGAGCCGGCGTGTGAGATCAGTCGGGCACCGACGAGCTCGCCGAGCAGAGCCGTCAGATTCGGGGCCAGTGCCGCCATTCGGTTCTTCAAGTAGTCGAACAGCTGCGTCCTAAAAAATCAGGTTTTGAAGAGTACAAACAAAAAGTGGGTGCGCCGAAAATGCCAGATTTTGAGCCAATTTGTACGAAATAAAGGCAAGATTCAAAAAGACAGGAAAATGATACCGGTATTCGGTGAGTTCGATGACTTGGTCGCAGAGTTGGCTGATGTGCAGCAGATCAATGTCGGAGATGTCCGTGCCCATGCTGATCTCGGCCTCCTCCTAAAAAAATAAAATCAAAATACACAACAGTAAAATTTACCTTGACGCGGGCCTCCAGCTCCTCGGGCAAAATAGACGAGAGATCAGTGTCGATGGCCTTCTGGCGCATTCCGATGGCTTTCACAACCTAAAAAGAACCAATAAAAAGCCAAAGTGGCCAGAATACCTTGGCAAAAGCCTGGTGGTCGGGGAGGATCTTTCCGAGCTCGGGGAAATGCCATCCGTACCACTCGCGGCACCGCATCACGTAGTTGTTCAGCTCCTTGTCAAGATCGTCGAGCAGCGAGACGGCCTAAAAAACACAAAATCAGCTTGAAAAGTAAGTAATTCGGATACCTGGACGATCATGGTGTCAATCTTCTCCGGGTTGAACTTGACCTTGTACCGTCCGAGCGAATGGGACACGGCCAGGTTCATCGCGGCCAGTTCGGCCTTGTGCTCGCCGAGCAGCGAGTCGCTGTGGGCACGGATCCCGCGCAGCAGCTCCGAGATGGCGCTGTTGTGCACGCACGGAATCTCGAGCGACTCCTGAAAACCCAATAAAATGGATAGACCAAAATAGTATACCTTGAGCAGGTTTCCCAGTTTGGCGTCCGCGACAGCCAACTTCTCACTTCCGTCGCACTTCGACTTGATGAACTTCTTCAGCGTCTTGCTGAGCTTGCCGTCCTGCAGGCTGGCGATCGATTCGGTGGCTTCGGTGGTGGTCTTGAACTTCTTGAAGGCCATCAGTTGCAGACTGCAAACAAAAAATGATTTAAATTTGGGAAGCAAAACTCACTTGTCCTGTGCCTTTGAAGCCGTGCTGAACTCGTCCCAGATGTTGTCCACATTCTTGATCTTCTTCTCGTCGAGGAGCTGGAAAAAAGTCGTAAAGTGGAAACAAAGAAACAGACAAACCTTGAAGAGCGAGTAGCCGGCTGGGGTCTCAAAGAGAACCAGCATCGCGCTAAAAAGGATAATTAGATGGCAAAACCGCTGCTCTGGAAAAGCAAAGAAGCCGAGCAAAAATCAAATCGATGAAACCCCCATCATCCCCAATCAAAATTTCGAAAACGACCCGCTAAAACTTCATCTACTGCGATAAAACCTTCATCAAAGCCCAAAATCGTTGTAAGAATGGTTACGGCATATCTGCCGGTAAATTCGTAGCCAAAAAACAAGTTTGTAAGAAAGTTAACAATTTATGCTCACGCATCGCAAAACACGGCAAATTGCAAAAGTTAAACCAGATAGCACTAGGGCAATTATTCGCGGCGCCAAGAAACATCCATAACTTTTTAAAAATAACGTGCCGCCACAGGATAAAGGCCCCGAGCGCGAGCACATAGAACAAAACCGGGATGAGATGGAGAAATAACGACGGGGGGAACACGGGGGAGGCAAAATCAACGGAGGCAACAACAAATTCGTAACAACGATGATGAGTATCAATGCATGGTGTATGTGTTCTTCTCGTGAAGGTTCGACAGCTCGCCGTCGAAGTCGACATCGATGGTCATGTCGAGATCGCGGGGATTCTTCGCGTTGGGTGCCATGGAGAAGGTGCCCTTCACGGTCTCGCCCTTCTTCACCGTCATCGCGTCGTACAGGTAGAAGACGGTCTGCTTCCAGTGAGTGTATTGGCAGTCGGGGCCGGTGCTGAAGCCGAGGCGCTTGTGCGACTTTGAGAACTCGACCGTGAAGAAAGTGACGAGGGCCTGGATGTAGTCATTCCGAGTGCAGTTCAACTGGAATTCCGTCGTCCATGCGAGGTCCTCGAGCTGCACGGTGTACAGGTCGATTTCCTTCAGCATGTAGTTGTTGGTGGCCACTTGCGCGTAGTCGACCACATCAACGAGTGGCTCGCGGATTGCCACGCGGCCAATGGCACCCATCTTGAAGCCGTAAACGTTGTTCCACCAGAAGATCTTGTCGTCCTTGTACTGGCGGTCCTCGATGCCGCAGACGAACAGTTTGGCCTTGTCCGGGAAGAGCGATCCGCCTGGGGCCAGCCACTTGTCGCGCGCTATGAGCACCGTGTTGAGCATCGACTCGTAGAATAGGCAATATCCCATCCACTCAGAGATGATCACGTCCACCTTCTCGTATCCGCCAGGCAACTCGGTGATGTCCTCGAGTTTGGCTTGAATCACTTCAACGATGTGATCGAGGTTGTTGTCCTTGACAATTTGGCGTGATTGGATGGCCATGGCGGAGAACTCGATGGCGAAGACCTTCTTGGCCCCGGCGGTGGCGGCGAACATGGAAAGGATGCCGGTTCCAGATCCGACATCCATGACCACCTTGTCCTTGAAGAGGTGCTTGTTGTGGTAGATGGAGTTGCGGTAGGTGGTGGTGCGGACCTCATCCTTCAGCATCTCCTCGTGGATCCCGAAGTGGGCATACGAGTCGAAGTAGTAGTCGCGGCTCGTCAGCTCGGTGGGCCCGGCGGCGGCACTTGTTCCCGACGACTCGCCATTTTCCGCTGCCATCTGGAAAGGAAAGGATAAGTAATGCCTCAAAAATTGAAAAAAGAAAACAAAACATGAAAATACTTGGAGACGAGAGCATCAGCAAATCAAAAGATGCAGAAAAGGCTCTAGATTTTAGGAGCTGAGGATAGAGGCTAAAAAATACGCGCTGCTATATAATTCCTAGAAATAATGGGAAGCAAATGAGGAAAAGGAAGTAGGGGAGAAAAAGAACCGTATTTTGAATAGAGAGACTACTGGGCTGCTCCAAAATGCTTTCCGGGGTAGTTTTGCGTGGCCATTCCAAAAAATGCGACACATTCCTTGTGATTGCTATGATGAGCGTGGGTTCTCCGCCCGAAATAGGGCCGAGCGCGCCCAATTGCAAAGCAGCGGAAAGTCATTCGAAAGGTTAGGCAAAAATGGGGAAGGAACGACGTAATGGAATGGGAAAAGAAAAGTAAAAGTCTAAAACGAAAATCGACCGGTTTTTCAGCTTCTGCCAAACAGCGCGGGTTATCTATTCCGAAATAGGACCGAGGAGCGTGCGCCGAAACAAAAAAAACCAAACGCAACCGAAATTTTGGGGCAAAAAGAAGGGAATGCGCAGTGCAATCGAAAAACCGAAAAATACGGAGAAAGCGGAAAGTATAAAATCACGAGAAAGATGCCAGACAGCACGCCAGACGAAAGGAAAATCTTTTCCGGCTTTTTTGGCAAAAATTCGAGAGCAGCGCGCAAGAGGGCGGGGATGTCGGCACACAAAGTACCGTAATCCCGCACGACACTCCCTCCGAAACACACACCAACCCCCCTCTTTTGAATGACCGCGCATAAAGTGCGAGTTTTAGGTCCTCTGCGAGGACAAGAACGTCCCGTACGTCTTCGTGAAGAGCAAGGCAGCGCTGGGACGTGCCTGTGGTGTCACTCGGCCCGTCATCGCCTGCTCAATCACCCAAAACGAAGGCTCTCAACTCCGCTCCCAAGTGCAGAAGATCAAGGAGGGCGTCGAGAAGTTGTTGATTTGATTTCTTTTCCGTTTCTCACATACGAATTGATTGTTTTTGACCCATTTCCTCGTGAATGCATGTTGTTGTTATGTTGTTGGTTTCTTCCCGCACTTGTTCGTCTTTTTTTGCGATTGCTCAGAGTTTGCAATAAAAGACTGTATTTCCATCAACTTGTAACGACGATATGGAAGGCTCGACTTGGGGATGAAAAAGAAAATAATGTTCATGGGGGGGGGATATTTTCGAGGGAATGGACAGGTCAGCAGTTATATCCAGAATGAATAAGGGGAGACTCGTAGCAATGGGGAATGATACCCGAATTTGTGGACGGTGGCGGGGTTTGTTTTTCGGCTGGTCCTTCAGGGATTCGTGGCACGGGACTAAAACCAGAAACTTAATTTCAGACCGTAAGGGGATGCTTACTCGCAGCTTATGTCGCATCTCCCACGTGATGATCGATGATTTTGATCCGATGACGTGATCGATGATTTCGTCCTTCTTTTCAGTCATTGAGTAGATAGTCTCCGTCGCGCCGCAGAGCCATTCGTAAAAACTGAAAAAGGGAAAGTTTAAAAAATAAGGTTTCAAAGAAAAAAATGGATCTAAAGTTCACTTCTTTAAAGTTTGGAAAATTAAAAACGTACTTTTCCAATGAAAACATGGCCACCAGGCCAAACTCAAAGCGGATGATGGCGCCGAGGGCTGTGAAACCGGCATGTTTCATCTCAAAGGATGGGTTCTAAAATAAGGGAAATAAAGGGTAAAATCAGAAAAAATACCCGGACAAAATCAAATACGTGCTGGGGAAAAGAAATTCCCAACCATTGGAACCAGGGCTTTGCGGCTTCCTCGGCTAAAAATCAATGTAAAAATAAGTGCAAATATAGCAAAAACTACCGTGATGAGGGTGGTTGGAAAAAATTGCCGCGAATCGGCCTAGAAAGCCCGCACGCTGTTTATGGCGCACGTTGTTGATGCAGTTGACGAAGTGCTCAATGAATCGCTGGCAACATAGAACGCCTAAAAAAAAGATAAAATAAGCAATTAATAATTCCATTACCGGCCCGCTGTTCGAGCATCACTTTTCCCTCTTTGCTCCCGGCTACGTCGACGAAGAGGTTGAATATGAGGTCACTCCGCTGCTCGCCGAGAGACGAGCGAAAATTGACCAACTAAAATAATGTATTATGAAGAAAAGAATCAATAAAACCTACATATTGTACGGATAAATTCACAAATTCGCTCCAATTTTCGAGATGGCTCGGGTCATAAAAAACAATTTTTCCGAGAAAAACGACGCACACTAAAAACATTGTTACGACGAAAAAAAAAGATAGTCCATACGGGGAATGATCTGCTCATCGCCTCTTGTGTGCATGGCGGCTTGAAATCTGGCGTAGACGGCGTTGGGCGCATCGGAGTCCGTGACGTATCCTCTATGCAGCTTCAGCCGCTTGTGCGCTATAAACGAAATTTTCAATTTTCAAAACCAAACATACTGGCCATTTGGTTCAAACGTTGCATCGTCCTGATCTGTGCGGAAAGATCGTTGCCGACGAGATTCTATAAATAAGTTAGGGATCTTTCGCATTATCGGACGGAGGGAGAGGACAAATTTTTTCTTAGGATCCACTTTTTTTTGATATAAGCGGAAGTGTTCCTTAACTGTTTTTTTTTGCCTATTTCTAAGCCTAAAAACGTTACGAATTTTATTCAAAAATAGATTTATGGACCAAAAAGGACGTTGCTTGACGAAAATTTAGACTTTTGCAAGTTTTCCAGTTGAAATAATTTTTACTGCAAACATTCCTATTGAGTTAGTAGGCCTTCTAGACTAAAAAAATTATTTCGCTCCCCGAGAATGCGAAAGAGGCAAAATTAAAACCGAAATTACCTGAATGAGATAGGGAATATACTCGACCATTTCCGGGTAGACGTTGCCGATATCGCAAGCGAAACTCATCACCTAAAAATGTTTAAATGCAAGCTAAAGCACAAAAAAAATACTTTGCAAACGTTCACGCGGCTGTCTGGGCTCGACGCACTCGCAAGCTCCTGCATAATCGGGACGTGGAGATCGGGTCTTTGTGCCATCGGGGCGAGCATCATTGAAATCTAAAAAAGAGATAAGAAAACATATGAGAAAAGTACCTGGACATAGCACCCTTTTTCTTGAAGGCGACGCACAAATGCTAGTAAGATGGACACGTCGCCGTCGAAGCCGGTGAAGAAGGGGGCGATAGCGCCGACGAGTTGCGCGGGCAGGGTGTTCACCAACCTCTCGACCGTGTCCTAAAAAAGAGGAAATTACGAAAAGAAATATCATAATTTATGATTGAAAGCACGATAAATATTTTTCACACACAAGGTTTTCGACAAAATTTGAAAGTTTAAAGTCTTTTTCTAGAGATTTGTTAACAAGACTTTACTATGTTGTTTTTTTGTGTTATCAAACAAATTAGGTTAAGCTAAACCTTGCCAACAAAAGCTCGCAAGGAAATAAACAATAAGATTAAAAAATACACACCTTGTGAAAGAGGCCGATCACGTCGCGTCCGAGCGTGGCAAGGCATTGCAGTAGTAAGATTTCAGCAGCGTCTAGCACGCTCCTAAAACGGGTTGAAAGTTAGAAAAATGCAAAACTTACTTGTCCACGATCGCGCCGTCGAAATCTCGAAAATACTTGAGCATCGTGCCCGCGCGAACCTGAAAAAAGATAATTAGAGTCGAGTCAAATACGATACCCAGCATTTTGACACCATCAGCTCGTTGTAGACGGCGGTGATATTGGCGACGTCCCAGACGAAAGCCTCCTCATCATCTCGCATCATTTGATCATCCATCGTTTCTACCTGAAATCAAGAGTTTTGCAAAAAAAATGAAACAAAAGCAAATCGGCAAAATGGAGAGAATCGAAATTGGAAGAGAGGAAACAGAGGATTTCGAAATTTCGCAATGTCGAAATTCAGGATGTGGCAGTTTTTGCATAGGATTCGGGGGTTTTTGCGCGTAAAATAGCTCAGTGTCAATTTAGGCGGTGTAAAATTTCGACATTACGAAATTTCGAGTTTGGAAAGACATCGATTCTTGATACCTTGGGAAATCTGGACAGGTTAACATAGTTTCTTTGACAAAAGTGGGGCAAACTGACGCAAGATCCGAATTTTTTCCCTTAAAAAAGGAACAGTCACGAAAGCCTAATTTTAATGGCGAAATGGCGTTTGTTCGAAAGATCGAACATCGTGGCGGAAATGTGCATGGATATGCACATACACATAAACCATTTTCTTTTGGATCTAGAGTCGGATTTTTAAAAAATGATAGAAAAGAACCCAAGCGATAAAAAAGGAAAACAAAATCCGGACAAAACCCAGCGTCAAAATGCTAGAAAAAATTCCTAAAAAAGTTTCTGCTAGCTTGCTTATCCCAGCGAAACCACAAATTTAGTCGCGTAGTAGCCAAGCCAGCTTATCCGGCGAAAAACCTGGTTCATTGATTCCTAAAATGTTTCTGCTAGCACACCGAGACGAAATTTGATGGTGTACGCGTGCTTCTGCCGAGCAGTCTGCAAAACATACGAGCTCGAGAGCTCGAACCATCGTATCGAAAATGCCATTCCTTTGAGGGGGAGAACCGCTCGGTGGCCACGTACATTTTCGACGCGCATTCCGCTGAAACTCAATGATTAGTAATTGGGTTCTTTTGCATTATCGGGGGGGGGGCAAATTTAGTACGGCAGAAAGCGTTTTTCAATCGGTTGTTTTTCGTCCCTAAACGTCAAACATCTTACATTTTTATTACAAAATCGATTTTCGGCCAAAAGGCCGAGTTTTGACCAGTATTTTGACGTTTTAAAAGTTGTAAATTTTTAAGATAGTGTTCCATACTAAATAAAGTTCTATTTTCCTACAAACACTATTAAAATACTTTCTGTGATCATAGTAAAATTTCTAGACCTATACAGCAAATTTCCTCTCCTCCCGATAATGCGAAAGAACCAAAAAATCGCAAAATAGAGGCGCAAAAACCCAAAAAAAAGGCACCCTTGAATTCAGGGTCGGCGGTGTCGAGGAAACTGAGGACTTCGGTGGTCATTTGGGTGATATTGGAACGGTTGATCAGGGCAAAACACAGCTCCATTGCACGTCTGAAAAACAGATAGACCAGAGAAGCCACGATGATACTCACTTTCGAATCGAGACATCCGGGTCTTTCAGGCAATCCACAACCGTCGTCCGGTGACGCTGTACTCTGCCTGCAAACTAACGGGTTAAAATCGGAAACTTTCCTATCTAAAATTATGGGTCTTTTCGTTTACCGGAGCGGGGGGGGGGCGGAGGCAATTTTAGCTTTCGCCAATTTTCCACAAGATATACTCTACTTTTAGTAGTAGAATTTGATTGCTAAAAGGTTACAATAATTCAAACTTCGGTAACTTAGAATTTTTAGGTCATTTTGGACACGAAAAAGTCAAAACCTGACAATTTTTGCGATTTTCAGAGCTTTTTTATGGTGTAAACACAGTGTAAAATGCCAAAAAATTGCCTATATTTTGTGATAGGGTCGTATCGGATTGCTGAGCACAATCCCCTACCCGCTAACAGCCCAGTACCAAGTTTTTAACGAAAATAAAAATCAAAATTTAATTCCAAAAACAAAAAAAAATTCAGAAACGATCGTGAATAACAACGCAACATTATCGAAATCCTTACCTGATAGTCGACAGAGACGGTCTTGAGCAGCGTATTGAGGGCGACATAGCGGATAGGAATCGTCCGAGAATATTCACAGCCAACACGCGGAGACCCGGCTCGCTCTTGATCTCCATAATTGTGAGCACCGTCTCGTACAGAATGGCGTTGCCCACATTCTTTGCCGTCTCCGTGTTCGTCGCCACCTGTAAAAATAACGTTATTATAGTTTTTTAGAGACGCATTTTCATGCCGTAATCTTTTAAAAACGATAAATTTCATATTTTCAAACCTTAATCTCTAAGAAAGGCTCAAAATTACAAAAAAAAAAACGTAAAATCAAACTAAAAAATGAAATTTAATGACGTAATCGTTTGAAAATAGCTCATTTTTCCGGCAAAACGATAGAAAATAGATTTTGATGTCGTCAACTTTTATTAAAATCCAAATTTTAGTCGTAAAACCGTAGAAACCCGAATTTAATGCCGTGATCTTTCGCTCAGCCTCAAAAATGGCGACTCGAACGACGTTTGACTGACCTGTGCGAGAATGTCGTTCATCTCCTCGGTGGCCCGGGGATCATCTTTGCCGAGGACACGCAACAGACGCAACAGTTTCACTTGGAGGAACGGGTCACTGATCCCCGTCACGTCGTGCTCCGGGCTGTAGCCGCTCATCAGCAGATTCATTGTTGTACATTCTGAAAATTTCAAAGTTGTCGCAACATTTAGCAATTAACTTTCATTTTTTATTTTCAATTTATTTCACTAATTTTCTATTTTCAAAAATTTCAGGTTTAAGAAATCAAGATATCGCCTAGGAAACAGACAAAATGCCAAAATGCTGCAAGGCCAAAATCCTGAAAAATAAACGTGACGGCAAAATTTGCCGACAAAGTGAATTTTCTAAAAGACAAAAGGCCGACAAGACGAAATGTCGACAGGCGAAATGCCGACAAGCCAGAATCCCGAAAGCGGAAACGCCAACCTGCCAAAACACCGGCCATTTGCAATTCCAAAGCAGAAATTTCGACCGCCAAATTGCCGACAGCTAAAAGCTAGGCATTGCAAAATTCCCCTTTTTTCTAGTTTTTGGTTGGTCGGGATTTTGACTTGTCGGCATTCCGGCGACAAAAATCGACTGTAGCTGCTGACCCTCTTGAAGTGATCGAGGACATCGGGGCTCCGTTCGCACATCTCCGTCACAAGAGTCGTGGCACCCATCAACACCCCATGGTTCTTCTCACCCAACAACGATCGAGTACACGTGATGAACACCTGGAAAATGTCGTAAAATCGTCTTTTTTTGCCAATTTTCCCCCGCGGAACCCGTTTTTCTACGTATTTTCCTATGTAAATCGAGGAGATGTTTCTAAAGGGCTTTTGTCTGCTTCTAAACGTAAAAAACACCAATTTTTGAAAAAAAGCACGTAATACCTTTTATATAGAGAAAAATTACACCTTTTCGCAAATTTCGTATTTTTTAGCTAGTTTTTCACCTTGGAAATGGCCAAATTTTACTAAAACACAATTAAAATAGTTTGTATTCTCGACTTGTAGGAAAAAAGAAAAAATTCTACCCCCCTCGACAGTGCCAAAGCACCAAATTTTCCAATTTTTCAGATAGTCAGCTGCGGCAGCTCACCTCCATCAGCTCGGGCACCTTCCTGACGATGCGAAATGCGCAGAGGGCGGCCTTCTTCTTGATGTACGTGTTGCTGCTGCGGACGAGGCGCTCCACCTGGAAATTAACAGACTTTTAGAAGCCACAAAAGTGGAGACTATACCTCACTCGCCAAATCTCGGCACATTTCCGCCGAGCAGATCGAGCCGAGGGTGCAGAGGGCGAGACCCGTCACGAATTGCGTCTGAGAGTTCAGGTCGCTGAAAAAGTGGGCGAGTTTTTGGCTGAAATTTAGACAATACAAAGTTTAATTTAGCCTACAGACTACGAAAAACAAAGCGAGAAATCGGAAATGTTGGTTTTCTCAATTAAAAAGTCAATGTTAGAGTATAAACTACAGAAAACAGAAAAAACACTTTCGAAAACACGCTTTTTCATAGCTACAAAGCAAATTAATTTCAGGGAAGTGGAAAAAGAATAATACAGGAATTATTTGCAAGCCGAAACGGCTAAAAACTAGCGCTGTCCCTTTTAATAAGGTGCCAGCAACTTTTGGTTGATCCACCATTTTGTGGCATTTTTAAGAGTTTGAAAGGAATTTAGCACTTTTTGTCGCCACGAGAATTCATCTCTTTTTGCCAAAACCAAAAGCCCTGTTTTGAAAAGACTCTTTTTAGCCTTAGAGAGAATTTAGCCCTTTTTGTCTCAATCTTGTTGTTAAGATAATAAAAATAAGCCACGGGATATCTATACAGATGAACCCTTGTACGCAATACTTCAAAAAATTTTGCCTGCGGCGCTTTGTAACGGTACTAGAAACCATGACGATGCATTCGGGCCAATCGGCAAAAAGCACGCTGCGGACGGGGTTCGAACCCGGGGGATAAGACTCCCTAGCACAGCGTGATAACCACTAGGCCAACGGGGAGACTGTCGCCCTGCCTTGGGCGCGCTTGACCCGCCCCCTGACTGGGGACTGGGGGCCACGAAAGGGGAGGGTGGCGCCCCGTATGGCGAAGGTTTAAAGTTAAAATATCTCAAAGGAGAAGCATTCTTTCGATGCAATTTTTTCTTTACTTATTCCGGCATGGTCTAATGCAGATTTGAGCAAAATTTCAGCCCAAACGGACATCACTAACACTTGTTTTGGCCGCAATTTAGCTTTTAAACTTAAAAATTAAATATAATTTTTTTAAAAGTCTATTTTAAAAAACTCTTCTTGCGGTCCGAGATTATCATTCACCCAATAAGTGTGCAAAATTTCAGCCCAAACGGATGGTGAGATGGCACTTTTTGACGACTACAAAGGTTTTGCGTACATACATACATACAAACAAACGCAGACCCCCCCCCTCGAAACGCAATTTAACACGGCTGTTAAAATTCGAAATTTCACTCTTTTTCAATCTTTAAAAGCTTATAGCATGCAAAAAGTGTCGCCGGTTCCGATGGTGTATTAAGTTTTGCGATTCGATGCTTCGTTCTTTTTTAAATCGGGAAAAGGACCCCAAAAGAGTCGTATGGGGGGTACCTCAAACCAAAATAAACTCTAAAAATCATCAACGATTTTGAAAGGACGCTTCTTCATCATTTTAACGCCAATTCAGCTTAAAAACTACCTAAAATCACGAAAATTAGCGATTAAAAAAATGCGTTTTGGAAAACACGCCTTTTCGTAACCTAAACCCAATTTAGCCCAAAAACTACAAAAACGCGAAAAATAGGCTTTTCCTGCGCGCACTTTTTGAGGGAATTGGTGACGAGGAGATGGACTTCGGCCCTCTCATCCAGCAACAGCATTGCCCCCAGATATCCGATGCGTTTGTCGGTGAATCGAGGCTGCGCCACCAGCTTCATGCATTCCATCTGAAGAAATAGGGCCATTTTCCGCTAAAACAATCCGAAATACCTGTCCAAAATGGGCCGGATAGCCGAGCATGTGGATGTAGAGCAGCTTGGCGATATTTCGGCATTTCCACGGCGATTCATCGTCTCTGAAAAGCGCAAAAATGACGTGGAAATGATATTTGTGGTTTTTTACACCGGCAGAAAAGCCGAATACAATTTTTTTGCTCTACCTGAAGCTTTCGCGAATATTGGCGCTCTCCCTGTCGACCACGGCTCGCTCATCGGCGGCCGTCCTCGCGCCGCGCACCTGTCGGATCAGATCGCGGAGGCGCATCGGCGTGCCGAGCGTTCTGAATGGGAATAAAGCAATAGTAATAGTAATAGTAAAAGCAGATGTAACCGAGGGAAATCGAGATCATAAAAGTCAAGCCATGAAAAATTAGGCGTAGAGCGGCAAAGAAATGGGGAATAAAGGGGAACGTCCGGAGCATACCGTAGCCCCAGCGCTAAACGTAAGGTGTATTGCCACGGAAATGTTATTTTCTTTTGAAATTTCTAACTCTAGTTCTTTTTCAGCGTTGCTGACGAGAAAGATACAGGGTGCGGAGAAAGTTTTGGGTGGCAGAATTAGCTATGTTTTCTCAAATTGCGTGCTCCAACATGGATTTTTTTTGAATGGGAGATTAAAAAATGGCGACTTGAGAAACACTAGGCGAACATATCAACAAAATTGTTGAAATTTTCGGGAGCAAATGCACCGAAAGCGTCGCGCTAAAATCACCTTCGGCACGCAGCGCTATTGCTGCTTTTACCGGATGCCCTGTGCAACATTCTCGACCAAAATTGACGAAATTTGGTCAATAGATTGCCAATCTTATACCCTATCATCCCACAAAATTACAAAATATTTGGATTTAAATGCAAAGAGTTCTGACGCTTTTAATTCTGAGAAATTCCCCTATCGGCATGGGAAACCGCTGCGAAGCTGGGGAGCTTACAGCCCATAAACCGCCACATTAATGAAAGGTGAGGCATATGAATATTGTAAATCAGGTTTTTTGACGTCCAAATTTGGGGAATAGACATTAAGACAACTCCAGGTTGAGCTTCACGAAAAGTTAAATAGCCGGAAACCGCGGCACAATGCTGATTTTGAACTCAATTGCGGCCAGGGGCGTCCGGTCACTACCCCGAAAAGTCACTACCCCGAAAGTCACTACCCCGAAAGTCACTACCCCGAAAAGTCATTACCCCGAAAAGTCACTACCCCGAAATCGTTTACCCCGAAAAATGATAGCATTGTTTTTCCCGGAAAAATCCAGTTTTCATGCGGATTTCCTATGAAAATCATGCAAATTATTTCGGGGTAGTCCTTTTCGGGGTAGTGACTTTTCCGGGTAGTGACTTTTCGGGGTAGTGACTTTCGGGGTAGTGACTTTACCCCGCGGCCAGGATTTAGCCAAGATGATCAAAAAATGTAAGATTTACGCAGGATACTGCTTATTCCCTGTCTTTGATAATCCGAAACCCTGGAAAACTTGGTGATAGGATCCGAAGCATTATAACCAATAGTTCATAGCAGCCAAATGTGGACCTTTCCTGGAGCCTTCGTGTTTCCAAGACGATTCTCATGCGGAAAATAATTTTTCGACCATTATGGTTGTCAGAATCGGATAGAACACGTCCGAATCTTTATTGACACCACAAAATTAGCGCGGTATCGCTTAGAACCGCAATTTTTCGAAATAAAAAGATGCCACCCAAAACTTTTTCCGCACCCTGTAGATGGTCGACGAATTCTTTTCAGTAGTTTGATATAAAGGGTGGGCCAAAAAAAGGTTTGTTCAGCGGATATCTCGGGATCCCAGTGCCATCGGGCTCTAATTTTTGGAGGGTAGATGGGAAATACAGGGTGTTCCAAAAGTCTTGACAAAATGTTCTGGGGCCTAGATACTCGCAGAAGCCTGAAAACGAAAGAAAAACGAAAACGAAACGAAAAGAACCCTTTTACATGTTTTAAATAACGGGTTTTGAAACGCGCCGCCAAAAACTAGGGCTAAGAAAAGCATGCCAATTGCCCTCACATAAATTAGTCACAACAACTCGCTGTTTTAATCGCACTATTTGTTCGGGACGCCGTTAAAACCTCTTTTGATGCGGTTGATACCCAAATTAAAATTTGTATTGGATTCCGTTGCCTAAATCTCCATTTTTTTGCGCGTTCGTTAAACAATAGTTAGTAAAACATCGGCAATACCCTAGCAACGCCCAGGGCAGTGCAGAAATTCTGCCTAGATGGTTCTGCCAGAACTTTTGGATATGTAATTTAGCGTTTTGCGCGGTTTTGCAAAATAAAGATGCTTATTCTGAGCAGCTTACTAGATTTAGAAAGTGCGATCTACGAGCTCGAAAATGCCATTTTGTGAAGTGACCTGAAGGCGTGCCCGTCTGCGGTCCTTGGGGTCGCTCATCCCACCGCATCTCAAAGCGCGCACGAGTTTTAAAAGCTACCAAAAACGCTCCCATAACTTCAGTATATTTTTTCTACAAAAATGTGCAAAATGTTTTTCTTTATCGATTTGTCACGGCGATTTTGGAAAGACGACCAAGGGGAAAAGTTATCAGCGAAAAAGAAGGAAATCCTTAACATTTTCGGTGGCTAGTTTTGTGGCTCTATAAATAACGCTCTCCGCTGCGAATTCTCTAACTTTTTTATAACAAAACGTGCATAATGTTTTTCTCTATCGAACTCTCACGGCGATTTTGGGAATACGGTCAGGGGGAAAAGTTATGAGCGAAAGAAGACCGGAACTCTTAACATTTTTGGGGGGTGGGGGAAACTCCCTCTCGTGCGCGCCTTCCCATAGATCTGTGGCTCGACGCCCGGGACATGAAAAGACCCTCCCCGCTGCCCGCTCCCATCTACCCCGCGGTGTAAGGGATCGGGTCTCGACCTACGGAGCCAGGGGTCGCGGGCTCAGATCGCCGACGATTTCAACTTTTTGCTTTTTGGTAGGTGGTAGCAGCAAAATATATTTGGAGGCTCTCGGTGTCCGAGATTTAGGTCAGGCCCTCGCTCTGGCGCCGCAGGTTTAATCCGAGAGGAAAACCAGTAACTAGCGTCGCAGGCTCAAAGATTCCAGCGCAACGCTGGCTCTGGCGCCGCACGCTTCAAAAAGGAAAAGGAATTTATGGTTCCTGGAAAAGGGTCGCGAAACGGTTTTTTTCCACTGGTGCAAAAATATGTCTGGAACGTCGATTCAGACCGCATTTGATTTTTTCGATTTCTGGCGACGTACCCATACAATGACGGCCGAAAAATATGCATTTTCAAGAGCATAATGAGAATAGCAGGGGGGTAAGACGGGGTCAGGGTGGAAAAGTGGCGAAGCGGTTTTTCAACGCTGGAACTAGAAAAACTATCTAAAAAATTTTCAGAAAGTCGAAACATTTTTGGTCGAAAAATCTATATTTTTGTATTTTTTAATGACAATTTGAAGTTTTTAACGGTAAGAGTTTACTTTACCCCCCCACAGCCGAAGGGTCTCAAAGTTTTCGGTATTTTCGCTTATTTTGTCGGGATTTTTGCAACGGCATTCGATAGTGCGTCGAAAAATATACTAAGAGTTTTAATTTGAGCCTACAATAATGTAAAATAAAAAAGTTATAGCCAAAAACTTCCGACTGGGGGGGTAAAGTAAACCGTACGCATCCGCAAATTCTAAAAACTAGAGGCTTACCCTGCAATTCCCATAAACTGCCGAACTCCGGTGCAGAAAAATGAAAAGTGCTGCTTCTCTTCCTTTATATAGGCGAACGCTACTTCCGGCATTTTTATTTCTTCTTCAAATTCTTCTTCAAATTCTTCTTCAAATTTTTTCGACGCGAAATTGTTTTAGTCGTTGCACAGTTTTATTTAATTGATGGCACTGATTTATTGCTCAAAATATCCCTGCAACTCCACCTCCCGAAATTTTTTACGCCCCCCTCGAATTCGGCTTATTCCGGTTTTTGATGAATTTTCTTGGCGCCAACGGCTGGTCAAATAGATTCATGAACATGGCTTTAGCATTAGGACTATTCAAATGATATTAGATAAAATTAAAATAACAATTTTCATAGTGCTAATAAAATTTAAAAAATGCTTCAAGGGCTAAGTGCCGTGTGGATGCCTCGAATGTTGTCTTTTGTTCGTTATGGGCTTATGAGGAGACGCGTCGTCAAGTCGAACGGGCTCTCAACCAATTGCCTCTTCGTCTCAAACAATAATTATCTATTCTTGTATTCTGGATGTAGTTTATAGTTCTAAAATATCGCTGTGTTAATCTAAACTTAACTCCGCTTCTTTATTGCCTTATTTCGGTTCTTTTGCATTACCGGGGGGGGGGGGCAACTCTTTCCTATGAATTTAGAAGTGGTTAGTAGCTTAATAGGCAGTGTTTTAATAGTTTTTAAGGCGAATTTAACTATGCTTAAAGTGGAAAACCAACCAAAAAAAAATAGGATTTTTAAAATTATTTTTTTCGTCAAAAATCGGCAACCTAGTTTGGAAAATCTAGTTTTATTTAACTTTTGTTGCGTTTTAGGCCTATTAAAAACCGTCTATAAGATGGTAACAATAACCGTTGAATATCGTCGTATAGAAAAATATTCCTCCCCCCCCCCCCCCCGATAATCGAAAAGAACCGTTATTTTTCTCATAAATTATGTGTTAATGCAAGGTGCCAGTGCTGTTTCTATTTGTGTGATCGATCGAGAGATACTGTGATGATAAATTCGTGTATTTTCGAAAATTTTTGTAAGATTTATTCGTTTCAAGTTTTCTAAAAATTGGGAATTTTTCAGCTTTTTGGTCGTTTTTCATACATTTTTGACGGACAAGTCAACATTTTTGTCGGTTGCTGGCCGATTTGATGTGCTTTTTGCACATTAAGACATTGTTAAAAAATATCAGATACACAATAATTTTCTAGATCTGGATTGAATTTGGTTTTCATAACTCCAACAGCTCGTTTCAATCGAAATCCAGTGGGAAAGATACGAGGTGTATTTATATGATTATCATAGGGAAAGTATAGAGGGGCTTTGTATGAGAGACATAATGTGAAATGCCATTCGAAATGACGTCTTTCAACCACAGATACTCCAATCGACATTTCTGGTAGAGAAGGTGCCGGCAGACGACGAACAACGTGTTCATTGAATTCTTCCTTTTCCTGCAATCATTTTCAGTTTAACCTTAGTTTTCCAGGCGCTTATGCATTATCAGGGGGGGCTATTGCTAAGGGTTTTTAGGGGCTTTACTATTCCTAAACGTCAAAACGTTGCCATTTT